CGTTTTAATTTCTTAGTATTATTTACTTAATTGCAAAAGATTTTAATAATGATTTGCCAGGTATCTAGTGTACCTCACTTGTGAATTGGAAACTGAATCTAGCCTCGGGTATTCTCAGACTAAAGAGTGCAGTCAAGAAACATAACAAAACACAAAAATTATGTTCTTCTTCTTCTTTCCAGTTGTCCTTCAAATCTTTAAATACTTAATGTATTATATGCACATAATTACACTCCTCTCACCTCAGGATCTAGATTAGTCCCAAAAGGATATGGTTGTCTCTTCTCAAATAGTTGTCTACATCAACTACCATAGGAAGTACTCCCCCCTAGAAAAAGTTGGGCTTAATTTTTCCTCCCAGAAGCTTTAACACCAAAAGAAATATAAGCCCAGTTCTGAATGTCTGGAGGAATTTGGTGACACCTATGTCAACGCACTATTTTGCAGTGTCAAGCACTGAAAGGACAAACTGGAGCCTTGTTCAGAACTCGTGGCATTGCTTGCAGTGAATTAGCACTTGTTAACATATTGGGTCAACCCCATCTACCTTCTCCTGACATTATTTTAGATGCAGGTCCCAGACGATGTGAGACCTGCAGAGAAAAATCAGCTATTGTTCTCAGCCACTGCTGAAGCAGAACATGGGTTTGGCAGGTAGGACAACACGTCCTTTTATGCTATCAGCAGTTTACACTCATTTGAAGCCTACTTCATTCTGCACCTTCACTTGAGAAACTGAAAGTGAGGACTCTGACAAGGTTTGGATCTTGTAAATATTTTGCTAGGAGTTGGTTTGAGCTGACTCACACTTTTGGGAAGCATCCATGCTTTTGAAAAGAAAGCAGGAAGACTAAAATTAGAATAACTATGTGCATTCAGATGAGGCCATTTTAGGGAGCAGTTTATGGCTGATAGATAGGGTGGTTTGATGCTAGAAAAATGGTTTGGAACCACCATTCCTGTTTGTTATGAGGCTTTTAGAAGCCTGTGGTGCTTATTCTTTAACAGGCTTTAGGTTAGGTGGCCATAAATTTCAGCTTTATAGTGCCAGAATCATTGTAAGGCTTCCATAGGATTGATTGCTTTTTTAGATGACATGTCAAATTAAACACAAATCTTGGCGTGTGCTTTCCTGTGAGCACAGGATGCTATAGCAAATCTTACAGGTTAGTTGCTTTAGTTGTTTTCAAAAATTCTGAAAATGGCATGATGGCATGATTTCTTTATGATTAAGTGAACAAAAAAGTCTAAACAAACAACTTCATTAATATTAAAAACATTTAAAAGGAAATGTTTAAGAGCAAGGCCATCAAACCTCCTGTCAGCTGACAAAACCCTGGTTTTAACTACCTACTGGAGTTTGGCAGACCAAAGCTAAAGTGAAATCTGTGAAAATAAACTCTATAAATGCACTGCCATAACTTTTATGTGCTACACTATACAAGTTATTGCTGAGGGAGCTTGTAATTAGTCTTTATAGAATTTGTATCTGCACATAAACTTTAGATGCTGCAAACCTTTGCCTTTCTAGAAAGTGCCTTCTTCCTTCATTTTTCCTCATGCCATTGTCAGAGTTTCTTATCCTTTGTTCCTGTAGTACCTGCTGCAAGTTTGGAATTTGGTGTTCCTCTTGTGCATCTCCGCAGCAATGTCACTGGGAATGAGATACAGTTCCTTGCTACCTGTAGTAGTGGCTTTGCTCAGCCTCCTAACTGGCCCTTCCATTCTCTGAGTACCTGCAAAACTGGAGAAAGAGGATTTGTTGATCTGAGATTTCAAAGAAAAATGTTGTCAGGCTTCTCCCTGATAAAGGCCCCACTTTACAAACTGTAACACAAAGGCTGTGCCGTCTAAGAAATGAAAAGATGCTGTGTTCCAGTACAGGAATGTCTTCAGCCAGTGAAAAGGTTTTGTAGACTCTGGTGACAGGACTATGTACCAGTGAATTTGAGTCTTAATAACAGAAATTACCCAGAAAAATTCACCTTATTAATCAAAACGATCAAAATTCTGGCTCTGCAGTAATTTCGTATGTAGTATTTATTTGAAAGTGGCAAAGGCTACTGATGAGTTGCTGATGTGAATGATCCTACCTGATACACAAAACCTGACTGTATTCCTCAACTCCCTCCCCTTTCTTCAACAAAAATAGAAAAATACAAAGGACAAACCCTGAATTAAACATGGACTTTGCCACAGAGGACTTCAGCAATTTACTCCTTGCTAGGACTGCTTGCCAAAAACAGGAGTGCATGTGTGCAGTTTTCACACACACCCCTCCCAAAAAGGAGAAGAAGAAAAATAAAAAAGACAAAGACAGACTGACTTTTGGTGACTTTGAACCCAGACACGCTTTCTCCACTTAGGAGGTCTAATTATCATGACAACTCTATCTCAATCTATTTGCCATTATGTGTGAATGATGCAGCTCTAGATTATGACACCACACAAAAGCAAAAGCCCCTAACTGTATGAATGGTGCCTATTTAAAATATATAGGTCACTACTACGACACATTTGCACTTGGCTGTGTATTTACCATTCTCCTGCCTTGATAATGAGGAGGACTTTGAGATGGAAGGGAGACCATAAACTTCTGTGTAAGATCAAATGGCTTTTGCCCTTTATAGGAGCCAATCTCTCCAGGAAAAACCAACACTGTTTTTTTAGATAGAGCTAAAAGAAAAAGCATGTTGGCTTGAGACAAGGGTTCCTTCACTTTGATCCTATGAAACAGTATGCACATGTAAACACAATGGCATTTTACAAGGATAACCCCAAGAGAGAGTCAAAATTAAAAGCACCATTTGCAAAGTCGAAGAAATAACAGTTGATTTTTTTACCAGTGAAAAACTGAGCCCCAGACCAATAAGTCTGAAGAATATTAACTTTCTCCTAGCCCAAACCTGCACAGTGGGCCAATATGAATTTTGTTATGTGACTGTTCATACTGCATTTTCAAATTTTTAAATGAAATTCCTGAACAATTCAGCAGTCCTTCATTATACGACATGACAATAAATGATTTTTCATAGGCCTACATGTAGAACTTGAAATAAATATGAAATAAATATGTGCAAAGGAATTCAGGCAGGTACTATTTTAAAATAAGACATAAAGCATTGCATTGACCTCATCAGTGTTTCCAAGCTGTATCAGCTTGAAACAAAATTATCAGTGCATCCCATACATTAAGCCAGGTTTAAAAATACCCCAGATCAATGGAGCTGATTGATTGTTGACTCCAAATTTACTCAGAAATCCCTACATTCCTTCACACAAGAGTCTACCTCCTAATCCATCCTGAGCATAGCCTGTCCTTGCACAGTAAGAGATGTCTCTTCAGCTCCAAAATCAATGGAAAATAGGCCTCAGCCATGAGAGTGGTTGGCATCAGAGTTCAATCTCTGTCCTTAAAGCTGGGTTCTCCTTGTCTTCTTTCCAGAGGCTGTAATAAGCAGTGTTTGAAAAGCAAAAGTGAACAGCATCGCTCTGAGTCAAGGCATTCACCTCCTAATGGGTAAGCTATCCAGAAGATGAGGAAGCAGAGCAAGGTGAGACTGTGTGTGAGCACAGTGATGAGTTACTCACTTTCTAGGTGTACTTTGAATTTTCTCAGGGAAAAAAAAAACAAACCTATAAAATTAAGCAATACTCAAGAACAACCAAAGTTGTAACATCAGTAATTATAAACTTTCATGAATTTTTTTCAGGGCTTACTAAGAACTTTATAGGAAACTGTCATATGTAAATATTTTTACTATCTTGTTTGCTCTTCAGATCAAATCCATGTGAATGAACTAGCTGTGCGTGGATTTCAGAATTTAAAACATTGAGGGTCTTTTCCCCACAGATAACCTAAAGTGCCCAGCTTACACTCCTTTGATCATATTGCTGCAATTACACCCCTACCACCTGCAATTATATACATTAGCTATACCTGAGCTTCCCAATCGTGGATCAGGATCTATGACAGCTGGCTGTCAATTAGATCAAAATAAAACTTGTTCACACCTAAATAACCACTGAGAAGCACAGGTAAAGAACAGCAGAGGCAGCACAGCAATGCTGAGAGACTTTTGGAGAGCATTTATCAGTTGTGTAACACTTACACTGTACAGGGACAGACTTCTTGTCTCAGCAAACCAGTCAGGCAAGGAAGAAATGCTGGGAAAAGTCATAGTGGAGAAACTGTTTTCTGGCATTTCTTTGGCAGGTCAAGCAAGCAGCACTGTAACTACATTTGAGAGGTTTGGAAACAGTCTAATCCAGATTTATTTAGTGTTTGTCTATTTTCTAGTATTTAAATTCTTTCTAGTATTTAAATTCTCTTCTAAACATGGTCTTTTAAATTATTTCATGTCCTTAGGGTGGGCTCCTGAAACTCCTCTTGGTTTCCAGCTCTTATCTGGGGATAAAAAATAGCCACCATGGCTCACAGAACTAAGTCAAGGTGTCCCAGCTAAGCCCAGCCAGCAATATAATCTCTTAAGAAGCCATCCAGAACAGAAGAAATAAAGACTAAAAGGAATGGCTGGAGTTGCCACGCCAATTTCTTAAAGTATTCCTGCCAGGATTTACCACACCACCACATGCATGCAGTGGGAAACCACAGGTTTTCAAAGAAACATGCAGAATGATTTAGCCACTCCGGATGACTTTAGAGGCAAGATCTTTCTAGGAAGATGGGTAAAAGTACTTCACATCTCTTACCACTTGCTTTTGTTTTCTGAACCCATCTCTGAAATACAAAGAAGTTAAGAGGACACTTTAAGATGATGTGGAAAAATCTGTATTAAACATATGAGGGAAGGAAATTCAGAGATAAGACTGTGACTATCTTTTTCTGATCTGCACCATAGCTGTGCCCAGACAATTTAAATATGTTATTATTCTGCAATAAAAACTGCTGTTAACCACAATCAAGCTGTGACTTGTTCAGATAAAAGGACTTTCATAATAGTGTTTACTTAGACATGTAATAAGTAGAGCCAGCCAGGTTAAGGAGAATAGTGATAAATACTTTAATTGTAGTTCTTTAACTGGCAAGAACTTTATCCTGTTTCCTCACAGAGGTAGTCATTACTGAACCGGCTCAGAGAGCAGAAGATTAAACACCTAACCATTACATAAGGTGTTGAAAACGCCAAGTATCCTCAATGTTATTTCCCACTGGGTTTAGTCCCTTGTGCTGTCTTCCCAGCTTTGTGAAAACATTTGAGTTTCAAGCGAATTACATGACTGTGAATTACTCTCAAAGCTGGTATTGGGCAGGGATGCTTCAGCACCCCGAGTTAAGTGGAGTAACACCGTTTCTCAAGTCCGAAGTACTCCTTGCGCCACATTCCGCCGCATGGAGACTCGCTGAGCCAGGTTTACATTGCCTGAGCCATGTTACACATCCATAGAGTGGCTCTTCAGTGTTACCCGATAAGATGGTCCGTGCTGCTTGGGAACACGATCACAAAGTGAGAGGTGCACTAGGGCTTCATTCTGCTTCCAGGTCCTTGACTTCTCTGCAGATGTCCTCCTCCTGAGACGAGCTACACGCACCCCATGTCTCCCCTTGGAAAAAATAAAACCTTTAAGAAGTCTTTCTCCTCACGTAACTGAGCAACCTCACTCCCGAGGAGCACGGGTACTACGCAACGAGGTATACGAGAGCCACCTATGTGCTGCCAGTGATACACTTCACAGCACGGGAGGTGATCCTACTGCATCAGCCCTATGTCAGCAAGCACCCCGTTTTCTGACAGCCAGAAATGGAAGAGTACATTCACCCTAAGCAGCCAAGTGCACCAAGCAGCACCGTGAGCCGCCTCCGCCCCACAGAGCGGCCCAATGTCACCCAGCGCCGCCGCCTCAGAGCCCTGCGCAGGCAGACGTGCCGCTCCCTCAGCAGCCGCCGAGCGGGCCCCGCACGACGTGGCCGCACGGCGGTGGCCGAACACCGGTGGCGGGGACAGGCGGCTGCTGCGCTCACAGCTCCCCGGCACCCCGCGGGGTATTATTATACCCGCGTTAATATAAGATATTATTATTATATTGTTATTAATATAATATATTATATTAAATTAACGCGGTGCCCCCGGACCCTCCCGGCGCTCCCCGCCCGCTGCCGTGAGGCGGCGGCGCGAGCCACCCTCCGCGCGCCGCTCCCGCCAACGCCACCTGGGCGCGCGGGGGCGGGGGGGGGGAAGGGGGGCAGGTCGATGGCGGAGGGGGTTTGGGGGGGGGTGGGGGGGTGGGTTGCGGCGCGCGCGCACGCGCGCTGGGGGCCGCGGCGCCTCTCGCGCGAGCGGCGCGCGCGCGCCGTTGGGCTGGGCGCGGGGCGTGCCCGCGTCCCGATTCGCCGGCGGGGCGCGAGCCGGGCGGGGGCGGGGCCGGCTCAGGGCGGCAGCCAATGGGAAGCGGGAGGGGCGGGGGGCGGGGGCGGGGCCGCGGGCGGGCGTGTCCCGGGCGGGCGCGCGCTGTCCGGGCAGCGATGGCGGACGATGGGCAGGGGCGGCTCAGGACTGAGGAGGGCCGGGCGGGCGGCGCGGCTCTGGCGGGCGGCGAGGTGCTGCTGAGCGTGGGGCTGCTGGCCCTGGCGCTGCTGGCGGCCTACCGGCTCTACCTGCGCTGGGGAACGCGGAACGGGCCGGGGGGCGCGGCTCGGCAGGGCGAGGCCGCCGCGCTGCCGCGCATGAAGCGCCGGGATTTCTCCCTGGAGCAGCTGCGCGAGTTCGATGGCGCTCGCAATCCCCGCATCCTCCTGGCTGTTAACGGCAAAGTCTTCGACGTGACCAAAGGCAGCAAGTTCTACGGGCCCGGTGAGACGGCGGGGGGATGGGGGGAGTCCCGGCCTGGGACCCACCGGCGGTGTTACACCGGTGATGCTCGACGGGTCTGGGTTCTCAGGCAGCCGTCATTTTCCCAGATGCCTTGATTTGGATGTGCCATGGTTAATTCTATTTTTTTTCCCCCCTTCTGTCTTTTCTAGTAGGTTTCCCAAGTGCAGCTGAGCAGTGCTTTCTTCGTTCTAGCGCTTACGGCTCAGGAGAGGAACCCAACCAGCTGCTTATTTATTTAGGTGTAAATGCCATATTGAGTGTGACTTTTAGTCAGGATAAAGATAGGCAAGGAGAGCTCTGGGACTAATGTGTTGCTGCTGTTGGGAAGAGTGCAGAGAAATCAAGCCAGTCTCATAAACAGACAGACAGCACTCCTCTTCGGAGAGGAAATGTGCATTTCGAAGGTTCAGAAAAGCAGGCTTCAGAGAAATGTTCTGGTTTTATATTCACCTTGTACACTGTGAAACTGCAGCACACTTTCTCGTGATAAACAGCATTCTTAATAATGAGGTGGGTAAACTTACTGGTGAGCACTGTGTTCACAACTGATGCCAAAGGAAATGAGGCTTATGACTGCTGATAATTTTCTTCTTTAAACAATGGTGGTTTGGAGAACTTGCTCTAATCAAACTACGCAGGAGTTTTCATAATAACCATGGCAATCTTCCTTATGAGAGGGGTGGAGGGGAGCGAGGATATTTCCCGTTCCCCCAGGAAATAGTTCAAGTTAAGTAATCATTTATTATTTAATAATTGAAGTTACAAAAAGAAAAATACAAAGCTGGCATGTTACAAGTCTTTGGTCCTTGGCGGGGAAGGCACAAGCAGTTCTGTGGTTGAACTGGGCTAGATTTTTGTAACTATTTTATGCTCAAAGTTTGTGATACCAGTTGCAGAAAGTGAACCTGCTGTAATTGAATTGAAATGCTTTTTTTGGCTGGGTACTGTAAAAGTTCACAGTGGAATCCAAAATACCTTGCCATGCTTTATGTTGTTTATTAACTAGAAAATGCAGCCTGCTGAGCTGCAGCTTTCATGACACTTAATCAGGCTAGTTCTTTTGTCTCTCTTATTTAGGGGTTTTTAAACTGAGACCTGTGTGCTGACATAAAATGCAGGTAATACATATGCTGCATGAAACTAAAAACACCAGCAAGCTGACAGAGTGCTCTGTGAAATAATACTGAATTGTGATCTAAACATTGACTTCCTCCCTTTTGTGTGTCAAACTTCAGTTAAATGTTAGGCTCTCCTCTCCAGATACCATCAGTGGTTCACACTGTCAACCTTTGGAGGCCTGCTATTGTGAGGAAGCTAAAACTTAATGTTCTAGGACATGGATCTGCTTTTTGATAACTGGTAGCAGCTGGTTTTCTTTAAAAGCAGTGCTTCTAGCTTTTCATCAAGAGAGACAAAGGCTTTTTTATTTATTTTTTTCCCTGTAGTGAAAGATTGCCTTTTTCTAACAGGAGTGACATCGTTTCTGTCTATCAGATCTGTAACTTGGGATGTTGCATGTAAAGCTCAACCAGTGCATCATCAGCTGTGTGTTCTCTGCCAAACATGGTGATGTTTGAATGGTGCTGATGTGGTTCCCTCTTTGGATACGTATCAGGGAATTTTTTCTTTCAACTGTTTTGTGGCTGAAAAGAAAAATACTAGTAGGTATTTTGCAGGCCTTAAAAACCTGAGAAGATTTCAAGTGGAAGAGTCTTCTACAGATGGTTGAGATCTTTTCGGAAAGGCTTCAGCCAGAGTAGCCAGATGTCCACAGCAGTTCTCATGGAAATTTTGTGTCTCATAGCTGGAGTGTGGCAAGGGAAGTGCAAAGCATACCAGCAAAACGTGGCCAAGTTTTAACAGAAGAAAGAACTGAGGACATTGGCTTTGCTGATATTTTGGGCTCTGTGAGCCTTTAGTAGATTGATGAGGTACTGATGTGAAGAGAGAGAGCTTCAGCTTTGAAGGCAGTGGAAAGCAGTGGCTGAGGGCTCACTGTCAGTCTTCAGCAAGTCTGGAGGCCTGGGTTGATGTTGAATAACGTGGCTACCTCAGGTGGTGCCTCATGTCTTCATAGTAAGGTCTGGTTTCCCTCCTTCAGTGTAGTTTGGATGCCAAGGTGTTCCTTTTTTTTCTACTTACAGCAGAAAGTTTAAAATGTACAAAATGGTCATCTAGTCTACATTTTTGTCCATCAATTGAGATTCCATTAAAATTTCCACCAGACTTCTGATTTTATTCAGAGTTCTCCTGATTTTAAGTTTCCATCCAGTGAATCCTGTTATACTTTGGTCCACTTCATTGAAAAGCACTTTGCAAACCTACAGTAAAGGTATTTTAAAATAATGGTAGAGTGTTGAAGACATCCTTTCAAACAGCTATGACTGAAAACTTCATTTTCTTGAACATTTAATCCAAATGTTTCCCTTTTTTTTTTTTTTTTTTTTTTTGTTTTTGTCATGCTGTCTTCTTTAAGCCTTCCACGGTTTATCTCATTGGTATTCTGTTAGTCTCTGGTATCTTTCAGTGTATTTTAGCTAAGAGTAAAGAAAGGCTACATTGCACATATAACAGAAACCACTTTGGTTACACTGAACTCTGAATTTCAAACTTTACTTGCCAAGTTCTTTTCCAAAATGCTGCTCTGTCCTGCAGATACACCATGTATTTCAAGACTTCACTTAGGTGTATTAAATTCCACTTCTGCCTGTGACCAGATGAGTAAGTGACCTAGAATGCTTTGACTGATTATTAAATCTAATTAATTGCCTTTCCCTTTATCATCCACAAGCTCCAAAAGAGATAAACAATTAATGGTTCACTATTAAAAATATCACATAACCAGACTGTCAGAGAACCTCTATTGGGATGATTTCCCATCTGTAATCACATCTCGTGACTTAGGGTCTAGTCATTAATACTTTCTGTGTGTGCTGTGCTGGTTTTAGATCTTAAAGCGAGAGACAGTTTTTTACTTTTAATTTATTGTAACATTGAACTTTGTGTGTTTGTTTGCATCAAGATTTCTGGTTGTGTATTTGTCAGTAAAAGAGCATTGTAAGAGTTAGTATTCTTTATGTCCGCAAATCTTAATATTTAGCACTTAAATTTGCATGCCAAGGTAATGCCATAAACAGGTTTTTGTTAGCATAGTAAATACTTTGTGCATTTATGAAAAATACACATCTTTGAGCATGACAAAGCAACATTATGTGCAACCCTGAGTGTGCAATTGTTCACGTCACTTCTTGGTTCTTAATGTTTCATGATCTTAAAAAAAATCAATTTCCTGACTTCCCTTCACTGCAGTATGTTGTCACTGTCAACTCGTTTCTCATCCCACTTGTCTTTCACAATGTTGTGAAGATCTCTGATTTTCCAAGAAGAATAGATTAGATAGTAGTAGTTCCTTCCACAAAAAATATTCTATCACAGTTCATTTTCCATGAAGGGAAAACTGCCTTTATTTCATTGTGGTCAACAGCCATGATTTTTTTCCAATAATTTGTACAAAAATAATCTGATGCTGTTAGACTTTCTTTGGAATTCAGTGGCATAAATTTCACTGTGTCTGTGTTGACCACGTGGCAATGGTGCTGTTCCATACATCCTTTCCACAGGTATGGTTAGAGTAAAACCTTGCAGGGGAGACTCTACATATGTTGTATTTGGAGAATTCTGTTAAGGGTGGCCTTATCTTGGGAACACAACAGGCTGGGGGGGTTACAGCTAAGTACAGAGGATAAGACTGGGGGAAAGAAATGTTTTCTGTAAAGTGTGAAAGGTCTTCTCAGTGGTTCTGATGTTTGTCACCTCTTTGGTTGTCTGTGTAGTGGAGGTGTCTCTCGCCCTGGGATTCAGCTTTTCAGAGAAATAGCGTTTCTGGACAAAGAAGTGGAGTTCCAGCCAGAAGCAGTAAAACTAAAAGGTGTATACAGGCATCTTGGTGAGAGATTGTTTCCATACTTATGGTTAAAGGGAGTAGTGCCTTTGCTACCAGGGTGGGGTTGTTCTGAGCCTCCAGTCCATGTTCATGGACAGCAGTAAAATGGTTTTGTGTACGAAGATCAGCACTCTGTCTTCTCCTCTGCTTCTGCTCTGTGTGTCCATCAGCTCTCTCTTGTCTTTTAAATTTCTTTTTCCCTTTTTTACAACCTCAGTATATTCCTTAAAACTTGAACAACTATGTGTTTCATAAGAGGTCTGTACAAATTCCTAGTTCCTATTGAAACCAGTCAGGTTCCAGTCACAGAATTGATCAGGCTGGAAAGAACCTCTGAGATCATTGAGTCACCTGACATTTGAGGGGCCTGATCAAGCAGGTGTGCTCAAAGGAAGGTAATATGAAATGAGATAGTGACATCACATGAATTGTTCGTTAGTTAATATGAATTGTTACTAACATGTAAATATCAAGTCCAATACACAGCAGCTTTGCCCTCAATGATTGAAAAAAAACTGACCAGCTTTGCTTGTGTTATTAGGAAATAAACTGGTGGTCAGAGCATTTCGCACTAAACCAAGATGTTAAATCCAAGTCCTTCTCAAGAATGCAACTATCATCTAGAAAGCTCCTGACAACTGGCCTATGGGCTCTCTTACCAGTGCTTGTTGCTTGCCCCTTTAGTAGAAATTGGGCCATTGATTCTTGCACTTTTTTTTTTCCCACGGAGTTAAAAAGCAAGTAAGCAAAAGAGAGAATGATACTCTCCAGCCTTGTGCCTGAGGAGTCAGGTTTAGAGCCCTGTTTCTGGGCACTTCCCATCTTAGCTTGTAGACTTCACATCTGTAGAGTTCCCATTTAGCATGTGGATTGGTCTCCTAAGAACACATACTTTCCATGCAAGTTTTAACTTAAAATTGACCCACATCTTCCCTTTAATGTAAATCTGGAGCAGTAAAGTTAAAATTATGTCACCTTGAATTCCCAGTGATAAATGTTATTAGAAACCTTCTGCTTTCAAGCTACATCTCCAAATGGCTTAGACTAACTTTCAGCTTTTTCATTCTCTCATGAAATATGCAAATACTTGTCAGAATTCAGATAGAAAATTTGAAACAGCCAGTGAAGGTTTCACTTCAGTTTGGAGTGGAAAAAGTAGGCAAAGCAATGGGATAATGCAGTTGTTAATAATTTTGTAGCCTGTCTCCCTTTGCCCTAACTCACATTAAAGGGGACATTAGTCCTTGTTCTTGTTTGCACATTAACAGGTGTTGTCCATGAGCATCTAAACTTCAGATAAACTGGGGTTTATTTCCAGTAGCTGTATGGAGCCCACAGATGCACATCTGATGATTGTTTTGAAGTGCTTTTTGACTACTTGAAGAAACCAAAGCTGCTGATGTAAAACTGAACCTTGTTAACCTGTGTGGCTTCTTTAGAGAAATCACATGGACCTTGTGAAAGCGAGCACAATTCTTAGCTTGCCTATCACTTCATTAGCTATAAAGTCCACATGTGGCTATCTGTGGTGTATTCCCTGTGCTGCCCCTTGGAGCCATCCAAAGTTCAGTGTACAGCGTTACTGGTGTTGGAGCAATACTCTGGGATGTTCCACAAAGCTGCTTCCAAACTGAAATGGTCAGGGAGACTCTTGGGTAACCAGGGATTTACTCTGAAGTTAGATCCAGCATAGCTTTTGCTGCGAGAGCTATTGGCCAAACTGGCTGCAAAAGGAAATGTGTGCTGTTCCAAGATCCAGTTTACCCTGTTTTGGAGGAAGTGACAAGAAGCAGTGCTTCCAAATAAAAACTTAGTGGTTCAAAATTTTTAATATGTTGCTTTAGGTTGAATAGATTTTTCCTTGTCTGCAAAGAGAAATTAAATCTTCATTAGAGAACCAAAACAGTTCTAGGAGATGCAGAAATTGTGAATGCATTTTTATGATCTGAACAGACCTTGACTTTACCAATTCTCAAGGTACCCAGTTTATTGTGAATGAAGACAAATGTCAGGCTGAACAGGATGTCAGATTCATCAAGGCTGCTAAATTCTTAGCTGGATTGTGAAAGGAAGTGAAGCTCTTGCAGGTGTTGGGTAGCAACATTTTGCATGTGTTGTAGCTTAGAGAAGGGTGTACTTTATACAAGGTGGAGCTGTAAGGTAGATGAGGACTTTATACAGGGGAAATGCAGTGTATGGACATGAAGGTGTAGATGTGGAGATAGGCAGGCAAATACGTGGGCTTGATAACTGGTCTCAGGGCTAAAATAAACAAAGGCTCTGGAACAGAGGTCTTTAAATGTGAGAGCCATGGTGGGAATAAAAGCATTCTTCAAGGAACAGCTTTCCTTTATGGAAGACTTGTACCTCCATATAATGAAGTAGTATGTAGCAGGTGTGTTTTAATTGGTTTTGACATTTCCCTTACTCTTGTTGTACTATCCCAAATAGGAGTGGGAGGAGAATTTTTTGAAGTCATATTTGGCTGTGAAATGGCTAATTTGGGGATACAGCCAAAAAAAAGCCCAAAAGAACCCACTGAAATTTTGTGATATGGTCTCAGAAACTTGCTTTGGTTTACATACCTGTGCTACAAGCTGCTGTTCCTGCCCTCTCTTCAGCATGTCTGTCATGTCCTGCTGCAATCAATTATTTACAGCAGGAGCCAGGCTAAATAGGTGGGCAGACAAAAGGAAAGGAAAGGACTGTGGGTAGGGCTTGCAGAGTAAATTGCATCAGGCCATGAAAGAACTCTGTGGGAGTGCGTCTAGGATTGCACTGATGTCTCCACCTCAATCATGTTCCTGAAAGGTATTTTCTCCCTGGGATTTTATGTGCTGGCATCTTCCTGGACACTTCTCCAAGTGCAGTGAAATCTGATATGCAAAAATGGCTTCTTCAGACAGTTGCACCAGTTTTTTATATAAAAGTGAGTAATAATCTAGGGCTTAGAGCAGAACCCCAGACCTGTATGTTTTGTATTAATATAAAATACTGTAGTTAAACTCTCTGTAGAAGCACCTAAATGGAAGCTTTAAGTCTTGAAGTAGATCTTGCTCATACTGAGATTGCTGAACTTCTGCTTTAGGAACCAAGGTGAAGCCAAGCTTGCACCATTTACTAATAATCACAATTCAATATTTACCTTTTAGTACAGGATTAAAGAAAAGAACACATTTCTAAGTTACATTTGCAGAGCTGGAATTTAAAACGCTGCCTGTTGAGTCCAAAGGTTGGTTTTTACAAGTTAGCATTCCACTGAGTGCTTGGACATGGCTTGATGAGTTCTCTCTTGACTTCTGAATACTTCTGTGATAAACGTTCTGGAATGTTAAAATTCAAATTCAGTTTTAAGAAAGAAAAAAGATATTGGTGTAATAGCATGCACCAATAGTTACAATAGTAGGTACAAGATACTTGCAGAAATTTTTCATCCATTAATCTTAATGCAAACTGAGGAATTCTAAAAGTTTTCATGCTTTCAATTAAGTGTGTTATTGAGATTTAAGAATGTTTAGTGCTTGATACAGATAAATATAATATCATTCTCTTTTTAATATAAATAATTGGAATCAAGCTGGTGGATGAAGAGGTGGCATCTCAGCGGGTGCTGTGAAATTCCATAAACCACTAAATGCAGGGTAGAAGGGAAGGGCAGCAGGGTGCTGCTCTCTGATTAGGCAGAGTTTGGAAAACACGTTGTGCAAATAGTAGGATTTATGGACATACTTGGTTGAAACACTTCAGAGAAAGGAAAAAATGGGGACAGAATACTGTTGGTGGGGTCACTATGTAACAGTTTCTAATTGCTTTGAAGGACTTACTAATTGTGTTGTTTGTAAGAGCAGTTTATAGCTCCCATGTTCTTCATTCAAAACATCAAAAATGAAATTACTTGAGTGATTGCTGTTTCGCTCGAAGCAGGACTTTTTGTTTGGAGAAACTCTGTGTTGTGTTTCAGATGATGGTCATTGCTGCCTCTTAGCTTGTCCTGTGGAAGTGACTGAACATGCACAGTGCATTGGTATAGGATTGATTTCAGTCTCTAAATCCTGCTTGTCAAATAAATACCTAATTCAGGAAGAGGTAGCTTTCTTGGCTTTGTTTCCCTGAAGTACTGTACCTGTAGTCCCTGATCCCTGAGGTAGTTCTCATGGATGCTGTTCTTGGAGCGAAATACCTGAAAGGATGAGCACAGAGATGCTGTTCATCATTACAGTCAGACTGGTACAGTGCAAATTTCCAGCTGGTAGTTCATTCTCTAATATCTACTTCTTGTGAAATTGTCCTTTGAATCAGTTAGTTTATTTCCAGAGAGAGGAGGGAATTATCTTTGGCACACAGGACAACATTCTGTTCTCAGGTTTGACTGTAAGCAGCTTACAATGCCAGGCACTCTGGGGTGGAGAGACAACACCAGTTCTGGTGAGGACATAGTTTCTTCTGCTCCATGTGGTACTCAGGTTCCTCACTTCAGGAATTGTCCCTGCTACATTCAGCCTGTGCCCCAGCCCGGGAGACAATGCCCAGCAGGAGCAGATAGGTGTGGTAGCCTGGGAGAAGCCAGCCCTTTGGAATGATTCCCCATGGTTCATCCTGCTGCAGACTCTGAGGTGCTCCAGCAGGCACTAGAGGGGGTGAAGGACAGTGTGCTGCCACTTGCTGGTGTTCATTCTTGCCCATGGGTGCTGCCTTTTCTTCAGGCTGATGGCCGCTGTTGAGAGGTAAGCCAGAGAAGGGTTCTGGCCCGTTTACCACCACACAGGGACCATTCTGTAGCAAGCCTTGGGTATCTTTGTGGTGCTGGGCTGCTGCAATTAGTGCAGAAAATTTTAAAGTGTGTTATTTTGTTGGTTTCTTTTTTTTGTATTGGTTTTGGTTTTTTATTGATCTGAATTTAAGGTATTTGGTTTTAGGTCAAGAAAATCTAAGATAATGATATGCCTAAAGTTCTTTCAGTTAATTAAAATTTGGGAAAGCCAGTTAACAATCTTACTATGCAAATTGTTAGTTTACAAACTGTCCATTTCTCTTGGTAATATTTATTTCACAGTCATAGCTCAGAATTTTATTGGGATATTTGTGCTGCTTTACCTTGGTCAAAAAGCACAGAGGATGCAGTTGCTTTATATTCCTAATGTGAAAATTTGTGCTGGTTTCAAGAGCATTACAGGCTAAGGGTATAGGGGATCTGCTGCCCAAAATAAATGAGATTATTTCCTCAGAAGTAAGAAATGTCACAAAAGATGTAGAAAGTTCTTGTGATTCTGTAAGTGAAGTGAAATAATTAATTAGCCCTCTTAAGTTCTATTTATTTATGATAATGGATTTCTAATTAAGATGTCTATGCAATTTGCTTCTGTTCATGCCTAACTTGTAAATATTCAATGTGTTGCTTAATAGAAGTGTATTTCTTTTGAATTCCAGCCTCTGGTCCCTTTGGAATTTGCATCAACTGGCTTGCATCAACTGACAGGGATTTTTCCAGATATCCCTTCAAAGCTATTTTCCTGGTTCTGCTTCTCTCAGCAGACTTTATCTCCTAGTGATATTAAAGATTGAATTGCAGTGCTGTTGAATGTCAAACAGCCATGGCATTGAAACTGCTGCTCTTTCCATCAACTGCAGAAATTTAATGTGTGGCTTTGGCAGACTACATAAAGAACTGAGATTTGGTCACCATAAACAAAGACATGAAGGTATCAATTTTGTCTTTTTGTTTTCAGAGGGTCCATATGGAATATTTGCTGGCAGAGATGCCTCCAGGGGACTAGCAACTTTCTGTCTAGATAAAGATGCACTCAGAGATGAATATGATGACCTATCGGACTTAAATGCTGTACAGATGGAAAGTGTAAGAGAGTGGGAAATGCAATTTAAAGGTAAATTCTGAAATTAACAGCTTAAGGAAATGCTTTTAATAAAAATGACTGATTTGGGCTTGAGGAAGCTTTTAAAGATGTGTTAACAGTAATATTATCATAGGATATGCTGAGTTGGAAGGGACCCCCAAGGATCATAGATTTCAACTCTTAGCTCTGCACAGGACCATCCCCAAAAAGCCCACCCTGTGCCTGAGAGCATTGCCCAGATTTCTCGCTGCTTGAAATCTGTCAGGCTGGTGTTGTGATCCTAGGGAGCCTGTGCCAGTGCCCAGCCACCCTCTGGGTGAAGAACCTTTCTCTAATACCCAACCTAACCCTCCCCTGACACAGCCTGAGGGTTGTGTCACTGGTCACTACAACAAAGTGTCTGCCCCTCCTTGTCCCCTCATAAGGGAGGTGTAGACTGCAGCGAGGTCCCCCCTAATGTGTGTGCACTGTAACTTAACTGTTAATACCAGAGCAGGGATTTTAGACTGTTCTTCCACAGAGGCTTTCACTATATGTCACTATAGCTTTTATAAGCTTTTATTTTTATGCAATAAAACTGTTCTGTTAGCTATTTGGCACAGAATTTCACTCTCAAATCTCATCTGCTTAGCTGGTGGAACTCCTGCTTGAGGTTGTTGGCTTTGGATGCCATGGAATTTATCATTAGGACTAAGAGTTGTTTTAACATAAAGGGTTGAATGAGTTTGTCTTGATATAATTTCTGACAAATAAGGAATTATGCCTCTGGAGGGAGGGGGAACAATTTTTCACACTAATTGAAATCAAAACAGGTTGAAGGATTGAAGAGCATTGGTTTTTAGCCCTTGGGTGATAAATCTTGCCTGATCAGCTGGAGGAGAATGGAAACAAAATACTCAAAGAGAAAGTAATGGTAGAAAGATTGCTTTAGGAGGCTGAGCTTGCTGCTAAATTACCATCAGTTTCAGTGATTGAGATTTAGAACTAGTGTGTAGGAGAAAAAGTGAATTTGCAGTAGTATGGGCTAGCAAGCAAATGCAGCTGTATTTAATTGTAATGGAATCATAAATCTCTTTCAGAAAAATATGACTACGTAGGTAGACTCCTAAAACCAGGGGAAGAACCATCAGAATACACAGATGAGGAAGATACCAAGGATCACACTAAACAGGAATGAACTTTGTAAACAACCAAAGTCAGGGGCCTTCGGAACTGCAACCTCTTATTCCCCATCACAGAATGTCCTGCATCTTTGGGTACAGTTCATCTGCTGCGAAAAAACATTCAACAGGTTTTGTACAAGGAAAATAATATACTCACAAATGAAGATTTGAATACTAGACATTCTTTGTGCTGCCAAATTTTTTGTTGCAGTTTATTTGTAATGTCTGGTTAGGCTTCGTTAGTGAAGAGGGGCCAGGGATTTAAAGGCAAAAATGCTATTCCTTTTTATCAGTAAGCTGAAGCCTTCAACTAGTGTACCTTAAAATCTCTCTAAAAGACGTGAGTCTTCAAGCTCAGAGGAAGGTTGGAATCTTGTTTCGTGTGTCTTCTCCTTCAGCATTAAAAGAAAGATGTACTCATCCACATCAGCATCAGTAGGTGAGACTACTGAAGCCGGTGTTAAAAATGTGAATTTCCAGTTTTGTTTTGTAGGTGGGCGTTAGTAGCCTGGCAGAATACTTCAATTCTCTAAGAGAAGTCCATGTAGATTAGGATGGGGATAAAATTCATCCTTTTCTCAAAAGGATTGGGTAAAAAAAGTTTCTTCTACAACAACTATTATCTGAAGCTTGCCTCTCCCCCTTTTTCCCATCCTCTAAATCAAATCAGATATTAATTGTGCCTTATTTCGCTTACATAGACTTGAATTGTTTTAAGGGACAGCCCCCAAATTGCGGTTTCATGGTCACTACAAGCAGCAGTGAGACTGAATTGGAATGTTCTGTTGACTGGAAAACGTTGATGTCATTCTGTGTATAGAATGTAAAAGAGGAGCACTCAGTGTTACTGCCATATGTTAATACTACGTATACTTTAATTAGCATTGTGATGGCCAAATGCATACTCCCATGCTTCTTTTTAAGGAATTACAAACACACAAAAAGAGTCTCCCTTCCTCCTCTTCCAGAAGCTGCCTAACTTTTGGGAGCATAGCCTTCACATCCCCGTAGAGTGAAGGGGCGTTGCGCGTGTGTGTCTGTGTGTGTGTCTGTCTGAATGCAAGACTTGGGAGGGATTGTTTCTGCAGATATTGTAAATATGAATACCATTTTAATAAAGCATGTACAATACCACATGTGCTGTCAGACTTTCTGTAGAAGCTGGTAAGCAGAGCTGGAATATGATGCAATAAAAAGGGGGAGAAATCTTGGATAGATTAAGCAGCCACTGCTGTTAATACTGCTCTTTGTCCTGGTGGAAGTATTTTCCCTTTCAAGTCCCAGCTGTGGAGGAATCCCGAAGACTTACTCAGGTAAGTTGTATTTAAGAGACTAAACCTATGCCAGTGAATTGATGGTGGAGGGCGAAAAAGGGGTACAAAGAAAGCATTGTTGTAACTGAGTGCAACATAGAGTATAAGGAATATGTCACATGGCATTAACAGGACAAGAACAGCAGCCTCGTGGCTTATGTTTGTACCTCTGGTTGCAGATTTCACCTGTGTTAAGTCTACAGTAACAGTTTATATACATACATTCTGTTGAACTGTAAACTCTGAAATGCCAGGCTTGACTACTTTTTTTATTCCTATTTGACTTAAAGAGATTGATATTGATGTAAATTAAACAAATAAACAAAACCTCCTCTGTGGAATCGTGTGTAACTCACATGTCCTAGAAGGCAGGTTGAACTCTTTCTTTCATCTCCAGCCTTGAAATAGAATTGTTTTGGCCTGGAAGTAACAGGAATGGAGCTGTTTCTCCATAGAAGTGGTGTTGGCAGGCTCCTGTAGAGGCTGGACACTCCTGGGAGGTGTGAATTCAGTAAGCACTGGCTTCTGCTGTAGTCACATCCTTATAAGCTGAGCAGTGGTGCAATGTCCAGGCTTGGACTGAGTGTCTGCTAATCATCTAACTGCTGAAATGCTGGGCATGCTGCTGTAACTAACCACAGAAATATGTGGTTTAGATGGAGCAGTGGGAACCAACAGGATAAATAAAAGCTTCCTTGCACAGGACAAGGGCTGAGAGTAATGAAACACCAGTTCTATATCTGGATGCTTCACCAGGAAATTTTTTTTTAGGCAAGTCTCACTATAGAAGGTTTTACAGCACATTTACAGCATGCCTTTCACTTTTAGCTATTGCACAGCTGTTGCATCTCATCATGGCACCCAGGTTGTCTAGCTGTGGAACAAAGAAAAGGCAACTTGCCCAACCATCCCTTAGGACAATCGAATAAGTGTTTGTCTCCAGGCTTCCACATGAAAATCCATCTATGTGTTACAACTTCTAGTGTAGAGTCATAGCTGGAAGTTCTTGATGCTGCTCTGAGTTTCTGTGCTCTTCACTCAGTGCAGCTGTTGCTGCATCTGGCACAGCTGTAGCATGAGCTGCTCCTCATGCTTGTATCTGCTTGATGGACTGACTTCCTACTGCTGCAAGAAAGGTAACTTTTAAAGGGAGAGTAGTTTTGTGTCTGCTGTGACTTAATAGCCCAAGTGCAGTCTTTTCCCTTGCTATCAGAAAGGCAGTGAAGCTTAATCACAGTGAAATTACATACAGTTCTGTTGCTGGGGTTTTAAAATTGCTTTCGGAGGACAATGCTTAAAATTTAACTTTCAGGATTAGCTGAACTACGAGATGGGTAAAGGGTGAGTTTTGCTTTGAAGCACCTAAAGGGTAACTGTGAAGAATACAGAACTTGTCCCATGGCAGCAGAACATTGCATAACTTCATGTCTAGTGGATTTATATTAATCTCATCCATCTTACATACGAAGTTCCTAGTGATCTAAAGCTGACAACCTAAAAGAAGTGCCTTAAAGCACACTGTAGCTTTCATATTTATGAAGAGTTGACACACAGCATAATTTAGCGTAACATCAGATCCATCCAAACTTCAGTGCAATTATAAAAATTTGATGGAAATGTTCAACCTTGGAACATTCGTGTCAATCACTTGGTCAAAATTCACTGTTAGGTAAATGACACATTGATACTGTGGTAAATTTTGTTTAAGCAACATGAGGGTCTTGATGGAAGAATGTCTTATCTTCAGAAACAAAACACATTTCCAGTTTAATATATGACTTGTTTTCCTAAGCTAGACTTGGTGTTAAATTAGTTTTAGTCATCATTTGTTTTGACACTTCTGCCTCATTTTGTACACCACTTCCCAAAAATGCTTCATTTTGGCAGTAGATATATTTTCAAACCTCCTTGGTTTAAAGAGAAAAAAAAAGTACCATGTTCTTACTCGATCTGAACATTTTGAATTTCCAGTAAGGACTACAGAATTACCTCATATGTTTGTACTTGTTGTATCTTTTTATTGAGCTAGATCTACTTTTCCTTGACTAAGGCTTAAATTTTCTATCATTCAGAGTTGGACACAGCATATAAAATCAGTTTGGCAATCTGCTATAATGTTGTTTCACTTTAAACATCTCAGTGCTGAGCTATTTTCTAGCTTTTTTTTTCTTCCTGCAGAATCAGTTTGATTTTACTGTCTTTGCTGTAAAGGGCAGGGAGCAGTTAAACCTTTCATAGGCTGTTTGAGTCTCTTGGACAATATTCTGTTTGACTACACAGTAAGAGTTTGTGGGGTTTTATTTCTTCTAGGAAGAGGTACTGTTCCTCTGTATGGAATAGTACAAAAGATTTGGCTATTTATTTCTTTCACTCTAAATATCAGCTATAAAGTAACTCTGGCCTTGCAGACTTGCTTACAGATGGAAAGCAAATCCTTCTCCTGGCTTTTAATTTATGGTTAAAGGTGAATGTTTCTTAACAGGTGCTCACAGCTTGGGTTTAAGCTTGCTTTGACAGAACCTGTGTGCCAGGTGAAGGGTTGTTTACCTGAAATCCCAAAAGCACAGCGGCTGAAGACAGCAGAGAAAAAAGCTCTTTTTGTGACAGATCAAGCCTGGTGTAGCTGTGGGTTTGTCAGGAGCAGATCCTCAGCTACTCTGAAGTGTCCTCTCCCAGGGAGTGTCATTTGTCACCTCAGGAGTGCCTGAAGCAAAGGCTGCAGTCTGGAGGCTGCCATGAATACCAAGTGTTTTCCATCCATTCTAATGCTTTATCTCCCACAGAAATCCCAATCCCTGTTAAAACACAGACAGGCTACTGCTGCTCAGTGTAGGAGAACATTATCTGCTCTCCAACAGGAACAAGAGCCAGCTTGAATCTCCCATTTTAAAAAGCTGTGAGAATGCAGTATTTTGAGCATGACAAAAATCCGGGTTTAGGCAGGTAATGTTTTGAAGTGTTTGTACAGCTATTTGTTAACAGCAAAAATGAAGACAAACCTAAAAGTTTTTCAGCAAGCACACAGGAGAATTTTTAGACAAGGTCTAAGACTTGCAAAGTGGTCAGTCATAGACCACTGTTAGAACACAACCAGTCATAAGACATAGTTAAGGTTGGAATAAATGGACCTAAAAGGCACGGGAAGGGATGTTGGATACACAACTTTGCCCTGCACCAAGGCCCATCAGTTCCTGAGAAGTGATGAACAGGACAGGAAATGATCAACAGGACAGTGAAACCAGCATCAATGCAAGGATTGTTTTTACCACTATCTGCAAGGGAAGATTGAAGCCCGTGGGAAGTGAAAGGGGCATTCCTGAGAGGCAGGCAGAGCTGTGGATGGACTTGGGTGGTGTTTTTGTCCAGCTCACTAAAGGGACACTGGGCAGCTCTAGAGGCCAGCAGGTGAAGTATTCACTCTCCTTGCCTTTCCCCATGTTTATCGTTCACCTGTCGTATTTTTGACAAATACGCAATCATATGACAAAAATAAATCAATATTCTCCTCTGGAGTCTTCTGAAGTAAGCTGGCTTGCATTCCAAGAAGCACTTCTGCCTTTACCAGGCTGGGTTTCCCCAACACCTCAGTGCAGCAGAAATTCCCATGCAAATCTACAGCCTTCTACTCTTTCAAGTTGTTTTTCTTCACACTTTTGGGAGGGAAAAAAGTTGATATACAACACTATTAGGGTTTTTTGTTGTTTTTATAAAATTTTTCAAGATATCACAAAATTACACACACTAAAAGCTTAAATCTGCACATTTTCCAATGAAAAATTGAAATATCTTAAATTTATTACTCGTATATACAATTTCAATCCAAATTTACATTCGCATTTTCATGGGTAGCAAAAGGCATGGATCAAACACAGGTTTGAGATGTGTCACTTCAGCATATTTATAGGATATTTACTTCAAATCTTGGTATGTGTTCATTAAAATTTATTTAGAACAGGCCACTGACAAAAGGCTGGATTTTGTGCTGAAATGGTATAAACTGTGGGGAAAGTCACTGCTACCATCCACTCCTTTCAGTGCAAACATCCATCATTTGTTTCAGTGAGATTCACAGCACAATGATTGAAAAATTAACAGATCCATTATAGCCTCTGTGAGCTGTTAGTTTAAAGCTCCATCTATGGCTGTGCAGTCAGTTTAAGGCATCTGTGCTAGACAGCACTTTATAACTTTTTAAAAGTTAACTGAAGTAATTCTGCAGTTAACTAACCAAAAAGCTGGAATTCCTCTCACCTACCCCAGAAGAGAAGTTTTTCACTTCATTCTTCTTGAGTTTTTAAAAACAAAGTAGTGAAGTTAATAAGATATGACAGATTATAAACATCCCCCTCTTTCAGCTACAAAAGTGGATTTGTATTTGAGTAACTTACATTCAGTGAAATTGTCTTTAGACCTGTTTGAAATCATCGAGGCTTAGCGAGCACAATTTAGGCAGAACTTCATTCAGATATTGCAAAACAAAGTAAATTAAAATTAAAATTTACAAGGCATACTTTGTCTCCCTCCAAACTTATTAATTACTTGAAATATGGAGAAGAAAAATTCAAAATTATGCCTCTCCTGCTAGACTTCATAATCATAAGACAATTCAAATGAAGACACCTCTCAAGCCCAGAGTATGAATAGTTGGGTATTTTAACAATCTGCACAAACTGTAGATACTGAATGTTAATTTAAGACACTACGAAATCAAAAGCTCAATTTTCCCCTGTAGTTTTCTGTTGCTTGAGTTATTAAAGAACCAGCACTGAAGGAAATACCTGCAAAACTATCCCAGTTACGTCCACTCAAACTCCATACTTAATAAAATACTAACTATGGAGACCCTGAAAAAAATAGAAACTCTTATCTTTAAATAGAATCCAGAAATGCAGTTTCATATACAGCTGCATGCTCTCAAATGCGCTTTTGCAGAAAAACATACTTTTTGATAGTTAGCCTTGAAAGCAAACCTGCCACATAGATCCTTCCTTTCCATTTAATACTCTACATATAATGTAATCTTTTTTGCTTTGGTAAAATACAAATAACAGGGAAATATGGGTAAGGAAAGCACAGTAAATAACATGGGTTTACATGATACCTTTTTTTAAGAAATCTGAGCTGAAATGTAAGGCATCCCTCGAAGTATTTTTTTGCATATGCAAGGAATGCAGTTCTTTGTAAACAAAAGCTTGAGGAAAGCAATACTGAAGCCAAAGAATCTTCCCTAGCATCCTTCCAATGATCCCATAACCAAGAGCAACTCTCCTAGGCCAAGTGTTTTGGAACTATATCCTGTGAAAAAGAGCATCCCATCCTTTGTCTTCCCATACATTTTTAATCACGTAGTAGAGACTGCCTTGCCTTGAAGATCTCCGGATTAGGGGAGTGATGCCAAAGTTGATTCTCAAGGGCACGAGCTCATCCAAAGTCTACTTTTCTGGTACATCACTTTCTATAGATTTTGTGGCTTGCACAGTATTCCCACAGGAAATGCTTCCCAGTGCCTGGGACTGACAGGCAGTGGCGGGTTTGGTGGTGGGAAGGGTTTTAGAAGAGTTGGGCTGATGTCTGCGATGCCCTGAATCCTCACCTGGTCTCCTCCTTCCAGATTCTTCACCAATAGGAGGCTGAAAAGAAACATGGGGGACCTGTTAGGTGTTTTGTCATAAAACCAGGCATTTTCTGCCTCTCCACAGACTTGTAGGACTGAAAGGATTAGGCTCTTTGAATTTATCAGGCTGCCGTTTCATGAAATCAAGCACTGCTCTCAGATTAGCTTGCAGTGAAAATATTAGTACACCAAATATAACTTAAAATAGGCATTGAAACTTACATCCACCCTGAAGTCCTCCAGTCTCTTAAATTTACTCAGGTATTCTTGCAGTTTGGGGTCAACAGCTGGAGTCTTGTGCTGAGAATATTTTAGGTAAGCCCAAAATTTTTCCAGTCCATAAAACTGACCTAGTAAGAGAAAAAGATAATTTTACCACTTGACAAAGGTCAAATTTAATTATAAACTTAATTATTCACTGGTAACTATATTTTTAAGAGAACTGAAGATAAAAAGAATATGAATAAAAACTGTTCTTGGTTAGTTAAGAAGTCAATGCCAAGGAACTGGGATTTTCTTCAACTAATGTTACCGCAGTGTGAGCAGTGACAGGCCTGTGATAATTACCAGCTTCATAGTCCCTCTTTGTTTCTTGTTGGAAATCCTCAAATATTTCTTTCCTGAATTTCTTTTCCAGGCCATAGCTGTAAAATCTGAACAAGCATTCCAAGCCGTACCTGGAAAAGAACAGAGAGGCACAAAAATCCATCTTGCCTCTTTGGCTCAGAGAAATAGAGGTGGGGAAACTGGGTGGAAGGAAAGGATTTATATCCAAGAAGTAAACAGCAATGACAATGTCCTCTGTGGTCATTTTTCTGGTATTTTTGTAAGGCAAGAACCAGTTTGAACAAGTAAAATGAGGTTAAGAATGTCTTCACCTACAGAAGAAAGAATCTGAGGAGTGTTAGTACAGAACTGACTCGTCATGGTCAACAAGTTAGAGGATTTTGTAGAATTCAGAACTGAATACAGGTCAGGAAATGCTGCACAGTCATTCATCTGCAAAGCACAATTATATAATGATTTTTGCTATTAAAGTAACTTATACACACTGCTATTTTAAAGATTTACAAAAAGTCAGAGGTGGTACAAAAAAATGTTCACTGCAGATATACGTTAATTTCACTGTCATTGAAAGGAATGGTAAGGCCTCAGGAAAAAATACCTGTAGTGTTCTTTTGCATCCTCTAGAGCAAGCTGTTTGAATTCTTCATACATTTTCTTGTTGAAGTGGTCTCTCAGAAAAAAGGACCAGAAGCGAAAAAGTGTGTTCATTTCTTGGGACTGGCCAATTCCCAACCGTTTCCTCTCTGGAAGAAAATAAAGAAAGGGAAGAATAAAAACACTATTTTAATTTTTCACCAGAATATTTTAAAGTGCCTTGTCTTTAGTAAAAAACCACACCAGATCTTCTGGTAACTTCAGTTTAAATTTGAGGGTGATTTTTTGGTCAGGGAATGTTAAATGGAAAGCAGGGTTCCTAAAACAGAGGAAGCAAATAAATTTTGCCTGCCTTTCCCAAGAAAAATTAAAGACAAGGAACAACGGGAAGAAAACTGGTATCAGACAACATGTGGAAGCGTCTAAAAATTTTAGGAAGTGCACGGAGCAGCTTACCTGTTAAACACCTCCGCCGGTATTTATGGTACACCTGCTGAGTAAAGCCATTTTCCTTTAACAGTTCGTGAGATGGATGCCCGAATTTGGGAAGAGAATTTGGAGTACAGCCATAACCTGCCAGTGGGGCTCCTTCTGAAGGTGAGGCATTGGAACTGCTGGAGAAAAAACCCAACATATTTCTGCCCTGTAAACAGAGCTTTTCTGCAGAATCAGTTCTCACCCACCCTGACGCATGTAAGAGCTGACGTACGGTCACCTGGGGACTGCTGCAGTGCACCTGGGTTTGGGTGCACCTCTAGAAAATCAGATTTTGTGCCAATATGTCAAAAATAAACCAGCTTTGGACAATGATCATTAAACATTACTGTTCTGCTTGATTTTAAATGACCACTGAAGTGAACATCAGTGCCTCAAGTAACATTACTGCAGCTGTATCATGGATCAGACAACACTGTGAACACCAATCAGCCTAGCTTGTTTCCAGACAGACTGCATTCCATATTTTTGTCTTTCTTGATCAGTCTTTTCTTGCTTCCATTGTATTTATAAATTGCCTTTTATAACCTGCTTCTCCATTAGTAGTGAGAACTACCTGCAAATAAATTTTCAATAACAGCAACAGCATTTACCTCATGGAGGAAGTTCTTGGCCTGTGGTCTCTGGAATCCATCACCCAACCAACATGGCATTCCAAGGGAGGATTTGTACTGTGGCGTGTTTTTCTTTTCCTTGGAGCCTAAGAAAGTAAATGAAGGATTTATTTCCCTAATTTGACTTCACTCATTCTCACCCATTTAAAACAGAGACCAAAAAGTTTTCTGTTACCTAACAAGTTATAAAGTCACAAGACCACAGCTTCATAACCTGAAGATTAGTCTTATCTAACTAATCAAAAATCTTAAGCACTACAGTTCTTTCAGTAAGGACTTTCAAGGAAGAAGACTCAAAAATCATTTAATAGAAATAAAACACTGAATATGGTAAATATTTTTGAGTTAAGCAATAGGAGTAGAAGCATTTAATTTTCTGCCATTTAATTCTTGATAAACTGTACGCACAAATGTGAATTTTGCAGGCTTTTGCTGTTTTGGTTTTTTTTAAGTATGTTTTTCCATTTACCTTTACATCAAAGGATCGTGCTTCTTTAACAACAGGGTAGAACCTGGGTGTTTTTTTGGGATCCTGGAGCCTTGGGGTGCGAGGTGTTCGTGGGATGAAGCCAGGGTGGAAACGGGGGGAATCTGGAACTGCCGTTGGCAGCGATCGAGCCATTCCTGCTGTTGGAAGTACTTCAGCACTTAGGAAATTACAGGCCAGCTCCTCTGCTAAATATGGAGGCAGAAAGGAAAAAGTGGGTTGGTTTTACTGAGCTACTTTAGAGATGCTATTAGCATGTAACCCAGTAAATGTTAATAGTACCACGGTATCAGAAATAGCACAAGAGATAAGATTTGGATGTTGCGACTGCTCAGTAATGGTATGATACAAGCAGTAAATTCTTCTAATCTCATTTCCTTCCATGCCTGTATCCCATAAAAAATGCTGGTTTCTATAAGATGTTTCACAGTTTCAGTTTAACTTTACACATTGTAAATTCCAAGTCAAACAAAGAGCACCTGATGCTGGTGGAGAGTGACAACAAAGCAGAACAAGTGCCAGCTTCTTGTCATTCAACAGAAACCACACTACCCATGAACAGTTGGCAATTTGAAAAATTAGCAAAGAAAAAGCCCCCTCAGACTGCTGACTGAACCAAAATTAAAATACTGCACAGGCAGAAAGAGTCAAAACACCTACAGATTTGTTCTTTATTACAGAGATTCTAAAAAACCAAATGCTTTCATACTTACCGTTCTGTAACCCTGGAGGTCTTGGAAGAACTTCTTGGGTTGGATCACCAGTTTCTGGTGCAAGACTAACAAATTCGTCCTTATTAATGAGGTTCAGCTTCTTAAAGTTCTCAATCTCTTGCTGAATTAGAGAAAGCAAATTGTAAATGCAAAGCAGGGTAACAGATACCATCCAGGGAGACAGATACATTTCATGAAGAGAAAATAAGCTAGAACTGACACACAAGTACCTACATATCTGTCTCAGGTGGGACATGTGCATGCTGAGCATGAAAAATGTCATCAAATCATTGTCAAGTCCATAACAATAAAAAAGGAAATAATCTCTCCTGCAGTTTGCTATTTCTCACTGCCTCTTCATGTTTGCTGGTTTTCTTGGTCCATTCTAATCTGTATTCTAAATTCTACCTTTATTTCTTGCTCATATTCTGAACAACCATTTCCACCTTTGTCATCTTGCTTTTGTGCAGACATGCTCCATTTTTCCATGCAACTACTTCCCCCTCTTTGGGCACAGATTAAGCCCCTTTCCCTCACCACTCAGTGTTTAGTTAACTTAATTCTAACTATTGTTCCAACAAGCTATAAGGCCAACAGAACCTTTATATAAAACTACTTTAAAATTACTGTATTACTTCCCTCTCATCATCTCATCTCTGGCAGGTACCCCCTTCCCCTCTGGGTAAGGGTTTGCAGTTGTTATGAAACAAAGTACTCACAGAACAAGAAAACACTGGAAAACTTGAACTATCTCCAAAATGTTACAAAAAATATTCATTTAGTGTTTTTGGTACAGTGTTTGGGATGAAAAACTTGGGTTGGCTTTCAGCAATTCAGCAGACCTACAAATGACTATCACTTTCCTGTAGCATTTTACAACTACATAGTAGAAGGTTGAAGTTAATTTGGAAACTGTTTGGACAGGCATGGTTTTCTAGTCAAAAACTAAAGAGAATTACCTTCATCAGGGTATCATTTTCACTCTGATCCATCCACAAATCCTGTTCGTAGTAGTACAAGCCATCATTGATGACTTTAGCAAGTTCTGATGTAATTTTTGCACGGCACACACGGTTGCCAGTGTGATCTCCACAAGGATGTTTTTTCACATATGGTGGTGTCTGTGTTACAATTAAAATCTTGTTTACATCCTGATCGTCAATTTCATAATCAGAATCGCTATCTGACCAATCAGTAAATTTATTTTTCCGACACTGATTTTGTTCCATCTCTTCATCAAACAAAAATTCAAGTTCTTCCTGTTCTTGTTCCTCCTGAGGTGGGGGTGGCTGGGGTTCATCTGGTGTTTGATCAGGTACAGGAACAGTCTCCTAAGTTGGAAAAGGTTTTATATTTGAACTGGATTATGATTTTCCAAACTTCATTGCATTCTCAAGCATCACATATGTTAAGATGTTTAAACCTTGGTTTACAGTGTAACCTCAAAGTTGGTTTTGCATTTTTTTATTTAAACATAACATAAAGGTGTTTGATTTTACCTTTAACTTGACAGTGGATGCACGATGCCTCTTCTTCACTTCTATCCAAGGTTCAGAGTCCAAATCTGGCAAACTTGTGGACAGTCCTTTAGACATTGTCTGAAAATTACTTGATTCAGCATTTTCCTTTGGACACAGTGGGCTCCCCACTCTTGGAGAACTTGGTGCAGACTCTAGCAGTAGAAAACAGTAGCTCAGTTCCTGTTGTGGATTGCTTTGGTTCTATTTTGTTTGTTTGTCAAGTGTTTCACTGGTCTTTCTTTTAACCACAGCTACCATTTTTCTACCTCTCTGGATAAACATAACACTGATCAAATAATTTTTAAGAGACAGCTTTTCAAAGTCTACTCAACATTTCAGAATAAAATCAATTCTAAGAATTTATTTCCATGGAAAGTTTCTTCATGGAAACTTTCTTTCATAGCCTGTGAGACATTATGTGTTGCAGGGGAGAAAAAAAAGAGCAGCATCATTAGGATCGTGTTTTCTCCGTGTCATTCTCTAGCTCTGTGGATGGGTGCCTAACTCCATCTTCATTCTTCCCATTTAATTTCAGCCAGTGTTTTAGGAAAAGATTCCCTTGCCAAGGGTTGTCAGCAAACAAATCCATCTCCCTGTTAAAAATGTGAATGAATTTCCCATCCAAAACAAGGATGCCCCAAACAAAGAGTGAACTTCCAGCTGCCACAAAAATGAAGCAGAGTTTAGGACAAGTTTAATACTACTATTACTAATTCCACAGGACTGTAGCCCACCATTCTATATTCTGAAGAAGTTACAGCCATAACACACAAGAAACATTTTTATCTACTTCACATCAGCCACGTGACTTGGCAAGTGCAAGGCTGGCAGGCAGAGCAGCTGAATAAACCATTACCAAAAATACATCTTCTATTATGAAATCAGTATCATGAGGCAAATTGCCTAAGCTAGACAGACAGCCCTAAACTTATGTTTCTGTAAAATAAATCCTTTACCAATATGAGAGCCAAAAGTTTGGCCTGGTATGAATTCTGGACAATTGATGAGCTGAGAAAAGTCAGTTGGAGGCAGGTTGCATGGAGGAGGACCTGGAATTGGCCACTTTTCTGGATCAACCCTTTTTCTTAGTTTCTGATCCACAGTTTCAACTTCGGTACTGTCCTTTAGGGCCTGTGTGACAAGCATATTGTAACATTAAAAACTATCAAAAAAGAAAAAAAAAAAACCCAAACCACCAACTTGGCCACGTATAACCTCTTTATAGAATCCTTGTCATTACAAACAGAAACTTTTCTTAACTTCATAGCTCTGAAGCTATGGCACCACAGAATTAACCAAGCACCTTTTCAAACACATCCTTCTGAATGATTTTACCTCCAAAATGAGTGCAGCATTCGTAGTCAGAGCTTGCATCCGACGGAAACTGGCGATCAGTGACACAGGCAAAAATCCTTGTTGGTCCATCTTCCTCCTCAGGAAGAAGTCTCTCTCCAAATTTTCTGTGCTGAAATAATACTCACTGCAGAACAAAACATACAAACCTGAGCTTATTCTACAGTTAAAGAAAATCCTAAAGCAGCAACCTAGATTCCTTGTTAAAGGCTTCCATTAATAAAACAGAGTATTTTGACATGAACAAGACCATTCTTCAGCAGAAGACCCAGAGAGCAGCAAGCATGCTCGACAGGTTAAGACAGACTTATGATTCAGTACAGCACAGAGGGGTAAAAATCAATGTCTTGTTACGTTTGCACAACCAAAAACTACTCTCCAGTTTTCCTTCACCCACCCCCTCCCTTGTTACTTACATGGACAGAAGGGAACAACATTGTCTTGGCCTCCACAGAAATGAAGGACAAGCACTGCTTACAGTCAGAGCATAAGTTGTGTCCCACACAGCAGTACCAGTTCATTCTGAACTGCATCTTTTATTGTCCCAGTTTCCAGTGCATTGGAAGGCTTAATATCCTATCTGAGTGCTGAGGCACAGATAGATACCCTGAACCATCAAGCATGCTTGTGGGAAGATGAGAAAACAAAGGCAGTCATGTTGTATTTGGCATGAAACTGTACCAAAAAGGCACAACAGCTCATGGAGGAAAAAAGCTTTAAAGAATGGATGATGTTGAAGGACAGGGACATTTCAGGAATCTGGAAATACCACAGAGATGAGGGACAAGCAGCAGAAAGATCAATTTTCAACAATGTAGCCGCTCTAGGAAATAATCCAGGTGTCAAGATACTTAGTGCAGACAAAAAGTAAGGAATTCAAATCATGATCTGTCACACAGAGCAAGGGAATGAGAAAAGGTCCTATGGAAAAGAATGGAAAACGCCCTCAATTTACATGACAACTGAAATCTAGGCCTTTCATAGAGCTTACACATCATAGCATGATTTTGCACAGTACATCCAAGGAATACTAACTCCTCATCACATTCAGAAAAACACAAGTAGGGAAAGATTTCATGGGAAGCAGTTAAAACTGTATGACAAAAATAGAGGTAATGCAAAAAGAAAATGAGAGGGTATTAAAATGTTGATGAAAAAAAGCTGCACATGCAAATTTAAATAAAGATCATTCTACTTTCAAAAAAGAATAAAAAAACAAGTCTCTCCACTGAAGCTGAGATCAAGGCCAAAGTCTCCAACAGCAGGGCACTCTGATGCCACCACTGACTCAAGCAGCACCTTGATACCATTTCTTTCTCTAAATTTTGTAGCTGAAGAAATTTGAAGGAAAAGCTGGCTCTGTGAAACGCACAGATCACACACTGAATATTCTGAGCTGGAAGGACCCACAAGGATCCTCAAGTCCAACTCCCAAGTGAATGGTCCTTGCAGGGATCAACCCTGAGACCTTGGCAGCATCAGCACCGTGCTCTGACCAACACCCAGCTCCAAGACAATGAATTTAAAGTCTCAACGCTGGACAAGACAGGACAAATGGAAACACTGCTATTAAATCAAAGCAAACAGAGAAGAGAACAAGGCTTTTGGAGAATTAAGCTCTTACTCAGAGCCAAGTATGATAAGTGAAGCAACTGGGCACAAAGAGATAGTTTCTTTCAAGAATATCCTGTCTACTGTTCTGAGCTGCTACGTTCCTTTTCCCCTCCCAGAAGATAAGCAAGCACAAATGCCATAAACCAACATTTAACTAGTGTTACCTTTACAATCATACAGTAAAGGTAAAATCCTGTAACGATTCACCTAGTTAAAAATTCCACAAGCAGAAATGGACAATGACTGAACTTGACTCAAACTGCCTCACTTGATGTCCATCACTCTAGAAAAAGGAATGTGAAAGACCATTAATGATAAATGAAGACAATGCACAAAGTTTGCTCCAAATAGAGGGACAAACCTAAACACATACACCCCCTCCAGCTTTTCTCTTCTTCCTTTTCCTCAGAGTCTCTTTCCTTATTCTTGAATTGATACTTGAACTTTTATTTGTTTATTTTCTAAAGCAAAAGGACTTTTTAAATAGAGTTCTGCTGCACGTTGCAGAATGAGGAGCTGCTAAGCACTGAAACTTTTCAGGCTGACAACTTCAGCCTGTGCTTAAAAACATAGAAGATACTTTTGTATGCAATCCAAGTATTACTCTCTTGTACATCAAGTTGGTTCTTGAGATAAGCATCAATTGCTTGATAACAATGTGTTTCTTCCTGTAATTACACATCAATTCAGTTGGACAGTGTCTAATATTTTCTCTATTAAGCAGGTAGACTTTTAAAATTTATTCACCCACTAGGATTCAATCTCACTTCTTTAATATATCTTGATTTTTCCTGGACTCCAATAGGAACTCTGAGTCATAACGATTTTGTGTACCTTTATTCTGTATATATTTCCTTCTTTGGCATAGTCACTTTAATATTTTATAGCTACATCAAGAAAGGCAGGCTAAGCCACCCCAATTTAGAGGCTCATAACAGGTAACTGATGAATAAAGTCTGTTTCCCATCATTATTAAAAGAATGGAATAAATAAAAAACTTTTTTTTTTTTCTTTTGGTCTAGGGAGAATCAAACTAACAAAGTTCTGTTCTAAATCTGCTCAGGAATCTCCCTCTCATGGAAAGCAAACTCCATAACCAAAAGCCTTAGGAGTTCACACCAGGCAAGCAACCAATGGCCGTGGTTATCCAGCCATGCCAAGTCTTCTACCAACACCTGCCAACCTCCCAGTGCCAAAAGGGAGTACAAATATACCCAGAAGTCAGATGTGACCAGTGCTGTAACTGACATTTTTCTCAGCAGAGGGGACATCACCATGTCCTACCTTAGCAGGTCTGGATTCTACACTGCATGCCCAGAAATCTGGCCAACAGTGGAGTGGCTGTGATCCTCCCCCACTTGTCTGAGGACAGTGAAGGCCGATTATCCTGACATGGGGGTACATGTCCACTGTCAGGTCTCATAGGGGCCTGGCAGCAAGAGCAAAAAAAGACTGCAATAGAAGTTTTGAAGTTGATAGCCACATGTCAGATACTTTCTGCCCTTTAAAGAGGCTTTTCTCTTCCTTTTTGCGTCAACTGTAACAAAAGAAGCGAGAATAAAATAAGCAAGTTGCTGTACGGAACACGAGGGCAATCAAAAACCACCACAGAAGCATTGCAGAGAAATGCAAGTACGGAAGATGAAATATCTGCCAGTGGTGGAAACTGTCTCTTTAGAATGAACTAGTGCTTTCCAGGCCCTTTTTGACTTGTCTCCTGGTGATAATCAGTCTTCCAGATGGTTTCTCATTGCCTAATGGTATACACAAGAAAGTAAACAGTTCAGATCATTGAAAAATCAAGTATCATTGCAAAACTACTCTCTCTTTCTCTCAGTTACATGTTCCAGGTGAAACACACTGAAAACATCAAAGTAATGAGACTTCTCAAAGTGAAATTGAGAGCAAATAGGGGAAAACATCACCCAAGAAGAGCTTTATAGGCAAACAGACTAACAGTACTCAAAAGCACAAGCTCAGAGACATCCATATCTCAATTACATGACAACATAAAGAGGGCTGTGTACCATAAATAAAGCAGTTATACGAGTTAGAGCCAGGCTTCAGCACAAGATGTAGAAACAGCTTCCTTAAAACTCCTCCCCATTACTCAAGTTTTTTCACCCACTAGTGAACAAATTCAATCTGACACTAGTAATGGTCAAAGTTAACTCAAAAAGTTGAGCTGCAGTGCCTTAATCTCCAACTTGACATGGATAATAAGGATTCAACACTGTTTTAAAAGAGTTATTTTATCTTAACTAGACTTCTGAAAATATTTATACATTAAGCAATCTACGTACATTTGGTGTTTAATGTATTCCTTGAGAAGCGCTTCATCCACAGAATACATCTGCACTCCTGTTCCGTCACCATAGTAATAAATCACACCAGGGTTAAGCTCAGGCTGAAATACTTGGTCAATTCCTTCACCATACAGCTCTTGATAACCAACTGAATAGTCAAAGTTCACTTCAACATAGAAGAGAACATAAAACAACATTAGAAAATTAAAACAGCAACATTATAAGCATAGTTTTCAAACTTTTTGCCAAGTATCTGTTGGATTAGCATACTGCTGGGGTTTCCTCTGCCTCGTCCTCTTCCTCTGCTTCTCCCCCTTCCTCTGCCTCTGGAGAACCCTCGGACGCTGCTGCCCTCGCTCCTCACGCTGCACACCTCGTCATGGTCATCTCTCTTGTCTCTATCACGACGCCAACCTCGAAGAGAAGAAGAAAACACAAAATATCTGCAATCACAATGAAACATTCTGGTGCCTCTAAGCCCCTCATGCCACCAGAATTCTCAGCCTGAACCCGGGCAACCTTCAGCCTCAGCTATGCTGAGGTGGTCAGAGCTGAAGCTGCAGGAGAGGAGCAGGAAAGGTGTGCCAGCCCTGCTGAGGGTGGGCGAGGGAGGAGGGGTCAGCAGCAAGGAGGTAACGAATGGCAGTCAATCCCAAATGCTTCTGAAGCAACTGGACACCCTGGTGCCAGCTCGGAGGTCACAGTACCCATGATCAGCTAGGGGCAGGAGGGAATGATCACAATAGTTCAGCCTCCTCCTGTGGACAACTCCCACCACTACTGGAATGAGATGAGAGTCACAGAATTGCAGAATGGCTTGGGTTGGAAGGACTCTTAAAGACCATCTGGTTCCAACCCCCCCTGCCATGGGCAGGGACACCTTCCACTAGTCCAGGTTGCTCAGAGCTTCACTCAGCCTGCTGTTGAACACTTCCAGGGATGGGGCAACCACAGCTTTTCTGAGTAACCCTACTGGATCAAACTGAGAGCTGCTAAGTTTAACAAAGGACTAAACATATGTATTAAAAATCTTGCTTTAGCAATGACTCTTAGTGAACCCTACACATGTATGTTCATACACTCGAGTCCTGACAAATAAGACTCTGAATTTACAGAGAATATAATCTGTATGTGTGTGAATTTCAGTCATTTGACCATCCTAAGAAAAAACTGCTGAAGGAAGTGAGAACTGGTCAAAATCCTCCACCCACCCCTATCCATCCTTCAGACATGCAGATCAAACTCTTTCATCCACATTCCTAAAATGACTTCATAAATTCCATATCAGTAGCATCCAGTACTTATTATAATGAGCAAACATTAAAACTGGGCATGTATATTGCAATTTTAAAACTTAAACCAACAACCTTCCACTCAGCCTAAGATTTCTGCCACCTAACCAGCTGTGCTCACAACACCTGAGGACCAGAAGCAGCACCAGTTGTGGTGTTAGTACAGCTTTTTGCATAGCTGTGCTGAGAAATAGGTCAGGGAGTTGCAGGAATCAGTCTAGCATGAAGGAAAAAACAACATCAGCAGAACTGCCAAAGCAGAGTTCAAAGTGTAGCTTCACAAGCAGCTGCTCTGGTAGCAACAAGCTGTGGGAATAGCAGCAGAGCAGGACAGAGCAGACACCTTCTGAGGCTTTTTCCAAACTTTCTTCATTGTAAAATTGTGGGACAAGATGGTGTAGGGTGCTATGAAGAGGAATATAATATAATAATTATATTCCTGCTGGTCACTGGCAAATATAAACACCAGGCTTTACCTACTAAGTTTCGACACAAACTGCCAGCTCGTGTGATATTACATTTATTTGCCACCAACAGCAAGACCCAGAGAGTGAGAACTACTTACTTCTTGCTTCATTCCTTCTGTTGTTATGAGGTATTAACTTGTTTGTTTCCAGCATAAATCTGGAGCTCGTTCGAGAGCCTGCTCTGTCTTGACTGTCTGACCTCACATCGTCCAAGTGAAGCGGCACCCATTTCTGCTTGTTACCTTGAAAAGTTAATATATTACTCTTTATTATACTAATACTTGAGGTTTCAGCTCCTGGAAAGACTCCATAGAATTTTCCTTGTAAAACTAGCAACAGTTAATTTCAAATTTTAAAAAGTGAAAGAAGCTTAACATCGAAATTTTAAGATATTACAAATGACTAAATAATTAATGCAGAAAACAAGAATTTCTGAAACTGAAATATAACCTCACCTAAGCTTCAAATATAAGAAATAAAGGTAAGCATTTTATTTAATGGCTTTTCAGATGCTCCATGATCAAGAATTTACAGCTATGTTGGTGTTAAATACAGACAGTAAATTCCTTGCTATATAATTTCACAACTTGTATATGAAACGTTGAGATTTAAAAAAACCATATAGAATTAACCACCACAATAAAAATTTCAATCACAAATCATACAAATTTTCCTGAGAATTTAGCTGTGATAATGTACTTTCACCTCAAGATATTCAAAGTTCATTCACATGCATCAAAAACTACTAGCAAAGCTTCATTTTGTTTTAGTTTCAGGCTGACCTAAATTATCCACCAACAAGTTATTTAACTAGAATATTCATTGGTATTGTGGGATCTATTATTTTATGGCTAAGAAATATAAGCAAGTACATAAAATGTTTTCTCTGCACTGGAGGGGAAAAGAAAAACATATTTTACCTGTGGAATGCTTTGCTTTGGATTTCCACTTAGACTGAAAAAATTAAAAGCACTATAGGTTTTTTTAATATATCTATGTATATAGGAAGATTAATAAATCTGAACAGAAAAGGTCTTTAGGGTCTGGAAAAACACCATCAGGGAAGCCAGACAAAAAAGCAGCTGATCTTGAAGCTCTGCTGTTTCTCCAGCCTATTCCAATCTCCTGACCGAATGAGGTTTGCTTCCCATTTTGAGTGTAACAAACTGGATCAAAAGGAAGCAAATAACCTGGTTTAGTCCTCAAATGATCACTTCAATGGGCAAGCTAATAGTAGAGCATGAAAATGGAAGTGCTGGTATATATGCAGTAACACACACACATATATATTAAGTAAAAATAACACAGTGCTACCTATAGAGGGAAACAAAGATATCAGAGGCAGAAATGGCTTGTACAGCCATAATAAAATCCTCCAGAAATGCTCAGAGCTCCAAGGACCAATCAACAGGGCATGAGCTGCTTTTCCCCCAGAATTCCTACTTGACTGAACAGAAGGCTCCAAACCCTGAGGGAGGCAGCCTGGCTGAGGCTTCCATGCAGACACCGAGATATTCTGTATTCACCCAGCAAATGCACATCATGAGAAGTTTTATTGAGTCACTCAATTGGAATCAATGCAGCTGTATCAACAGTGACTTACTGCATTATACACAGTGCCGAAACTCACCTTTTTTCCTTTGGTTATTAGTTTGAGCTTCATCTTCACTAATGTTATCTGCTGGACCATTTGGCTTTGCCTCCGGATTGTCCTTGATTCCATTATTGCTTTTTTGATCAGATTTCTCCTCCTTTTCTCTTCTATTTGTTGGCTTCTTACTATGACTTACAGTCTTACACTGTAAGAGACACAGGCAATTACTTCTGGCAGTACAGCTGCTGATACCAGGAGGTGCACATTTCCTTCAGCTATTAAAATTCCTTTTTTATTACCTGTTCTCAGCCCCTTCAGCAGGGTGAACTTTAAAAATTGTCTTGTTTTGTAAAGTCCATTTTTAAATAGTTTAATATTCTGCTAGCATGGCAAGAGCAAAAAATGAATTTTAGATTAAGAAAGGTTTTGGTTTTTAACAGAAGACATAAAACAGTGGTGTGCACAACAAGGAGGGAGGGAGGGAATAAGGTAGGGAAGGAAGGAAGGAAGGAGGGAGGAAGGAAAGGAAGGAAAGGAAGGAAAGGAGGAAGGAAGGAAAGGAAGGAAAGGAAGGAAGGAAGGAAAGGAAGGAAAGGAAGGAAGGAAGGAAAGGAAGGAAAGGAAGGAAAGGAAGGAAAGGAAGGAAAGGAAGGAAAGGAAAGGAAGGAAAGGAAGGAAGGAAGGAAAGGAAGGAAAGGAAGGAAAGGAAGGAAAGGAAGGGAGGAAGGAAGGAAAAAGGAAAGGAAGGAAGGAGGAAGGAAGGAAGGAAGGAAGGAAGGAAAGGAAGGAAGGAAGGAAAGGAAGGAAGGAAGGAAAGGAAGGAAGGAAGGAAAGGAAGGAAGGAAGGAAGGAAGGAAGGAAGGAAGGAAGGAAGGAAGGAAGGAAGGAAGGAAGGAAGGAAGGAAGGAAGGAAGGAAGGAAGGAAGGAAGGAGCTGAAGCTCCTCTCCCATGAAGACAAGCTGAGAGCTGGGATTGTTCAGACTGGAGAAAGGAAGCCTTCAGGAGACCTTTCCATGGCCTCTCAATGCTTAAAGGGAGATTACAAAATGGGGACGGACTTTTTAGCAGGACCTGTAGCAATAGGACAAGGGGAAATGGCTTTAAAATAAAAGACTTTCAGACAAGGTACAGGAAGAAATTTGTCACAATGACAGTGGTGAAACAGTGGCACAGTCTGCCCAGAGAGGTGGCTGGATGTCCCTGGGACATCCCGAGAAACATTCAAGGGCCTGCTGGATGAACTCACTTGATCAAGTGGAAGATGTCCCTTCCACTTGGGTTGGGGGGGCTGGACTAGAAGACCTTTAAAGGTCTCTTCCAACCCAAATCATTCTATGATCAGATATAATTTTTACCTGCAACATGGGAAGTTTTGCAGACATTTCTGCTAAAGTGAAAGAATTTTCCTATGTTGTGGAGACAGCTTTGAACCTGCTGGAATACATACAGTAGATACTGCAGTACTGTGCTATAATGAATTTGAACACAAAGCCTTCCCCTAGACAAATAAACTAAGTTTAAGTACAAACCAAATGTTATTTTGTTTTACAGACACTACATGAATTTGGACACTTTGAGCTATAAAATGCATGTTGTTGAACCCAAATGTTCTGGTTTCCCTGACCAAAAGCACCACAGGGATGCTGCTGCAGAGCTACAGCACTGTGAAATGGCACCTCAGCATTTGCAATAATCTGTGCTCTCGTCTTGTTTTAAATAGCATCAGAGAGATCGAAAATACACTATGCACTTATCACCTGAGATAAAGTGAAAGGAGGATAATTTGACAGAATAGATCTTAGCTGAAAACCCAGAAGGGGAAAAATATATCAGAGGAATAAGATAACTAAGAATAACTAAATTGTGTTCAGACAATGGGCACAAAGCGCTCTGAGCCACAAGAGAGGGCAGCAAGTTCGCAACCCCGAAGGCCTTCTCATCTGTGCACAAACAGATGAAAACAGCAGAAAAGGTAAATTAAACTTATTAAACAGTGGAGCTTAAAATAAGGCACTATTTAATGCACATGTCCATGGCACACCACTAACAAATTCCAGCAGCAGTGCAGACAGTTAAGCACATATGAGTATCCTGAATTACTGACAAAACTTCTACTGAAACCCTACAACACCTAAAGCATATTCTGGGGGGAACAATATGAAACAGATAAACCAACATGGTTAAAAAAAATAATCCTGAGGATTACAAAGGACACTTACTTCATTGTTTGCTATTTCGCTCGGGGTCGGCCAGCTTGCAATATCGCCAAAATCATCAGCCTGCAAAGGTGACAAACACTTTATATTCCTTCCTTGACTTGTCAGGAAGGGAAAATGTCAGTCATGGCTCAGAGAGGCAGCCTACCCCTGGAGCAGAGCTGTCAAAAGCAGCAATTTTTATAAAAAGAAATACTACAGAAACCAAACACACAACATTTGAAAGAGTTTTGAGCTCACATCAGACAATCGTCAGATTCAATGCTGTCCTACACATACGTGATTAAAAGGTGTCTATTGCTCAAGGCTTTCAGTTTTAGGAAAATCTTGAGAGCTATTAACCAACCTAAAAGGGGTGGCTGTACAAAATTTTAGGAACTTAATGTTTCAATGAAAGGACTCAGTGTCTCCTGTTGTAATGGTAACTTTATGCACATAAAGGACAATCATCACGTAAGATGCAAAGAGGATTTTCAAAACCAATCTAGCATCCCTTGTGCTCAAGTGATGCTGCTTCTTTGCAGCCCCTTCATACTTTCATGCAATCCCACTTATTTTTTAAACAATAATGCCTTTCTTTATCCCTCGTCCATACGCCAATTTAGCAACTCTCCTAATTTTAATTTCCCTTTTTTTTTTTTTGTCTCTGTGTTAAAAGTTGTCTATTACCAAGGCATCATATAACACTTCTGGTTGGAGCTTCAAAATACCTTGTATCTATTTATTGGAGCAGTATCAGCTATTTATCATCCTGAATATTTACAGGCAAAAATACAAACCTTGCTGCTTTTTCTTGACCTGGGTTTTCCCGCTTTTATCACTTTAGTGGAATTTTGTAGTTCTGAAAAGGAAGAAGAACATTTTCAAGTGAGAAATAAGGCTACACTTTAAATGAGTAATGCAAGTGTGTGTCAACAACTCTGCCAGGGTCTATCATACTACACCAAAGTGTTTCTGAGGGCTTGACATCAAAGTCAATGAACTTTTTTTTAGTGAATAAAGTCACTAATAGTACATGACACTGAAAACTCACACTCATAAGGGCAAATCCTCTTGCAAACCAGGCATACAAGATGCTGCCTTACCCCATATTTAAGCTTTTTTTTTTTTCAACTAAGAAGATTAAGGCTATGTAAAAATGCTGGTATTTTAACCTAACAAGTGGCAAAGAAAACCCCTGATACACATCTAATAAGTTCTCCTATTAAAACCTATACTTATAAGGCAAAATCAATGAAATATATAATTATGGAAGCAAGGGGAAACAACCATAAAAACAACTATATATTCAAAAATTCCTAGTAATTTTCTTTTATAAGTAATTACTCAGATGCCAAATAGAGTTTAGCCATATAGCTCAAAATCAAGCCAAAGTAAAACAAAAACCAAAACAAACAAACAACAAAGGAAAATATGCAAAGAGAAAAACAGTACTTAGTTAAAGCCTAAACATTATAATAATGATCCCATCTGATCTCCTGAGCAAGAGGAAACCATCTCTTAATTTCTTCTGTTAAGCCCTGTTTCTCCCAGTGCATGTCTTCCCATAGAGATGGGAGTCACAACTATTCCTTGAAACCTCTCATTCAGTGTTTTATTGCATGACAAGCTTGAAACACTGAACGTGTCTGAAATCACAAGTGGATTATTTTATACAGGGATAACATCACCTCCTCAGCCCTTATCTCTTTCACATCCAGTGACTAATCTCCCTTATCAGGGCTCCACACTGGGAACCCCACCCTTGTGCCCCAGTGACTCTGGAAAGCCTCTCTGTCTGCTTCCTGGAATACACAGTGAACATTACAAGCACAAACTAATGCTTACTCCACGTTCCAGCCTAAATTTTAATATAATTTATAGCCATATAAATGATGAGTTTCATGTATATGCTTCATACAACTTGGACATCTCACCAGACACGAATCCAGTGAATCCTGACCACCATTAGCCAGCAGGTTTTTGCCTCTCCTACAGATCTGCTTTTTAAAATAAAGACAAAACACACATCTCAATTAACTTCAGACTGAGAGCTTAAGAAACATGCAGTGACCATGTAACCCTAATTTTCACTTGCCACTCAGTAGTAAACTAATTGCCCTTTTACAAAACAAGACAAACAACTGCAGGGGTGGAGCAGCAAACAAATTTGTAATTCTCTCCAAAGCAACTACCAATTAGCCATGCAGGTAAACCGAGTGGCCACGGCGTGGCTGTAAACACACATCTCTGTCCAATTACCTGACTGAAGCCCTTTTTCCACCTGACAGCACTTTTACTTAAATTGCTGCTGAAGAGCTGTTCTGCCAGAACTGCTGCTCTGTGTGTCAGCAGGGTGTAGCGAGGCACCCAGAAGTGCAAGACTCGTTTTTGCTGCCCTGTCTTAGTCATGGGATAGAATTTATTCCAGGTGGCAGGAAAGGCTGTCTGAATGGAGCAGAATGAGACCAAACTTGTTTGAAAGAATCTCTCTTATCTGAATGGAGTAATCCAAGACTTGGAAGATGCATTTGCAAGCGAAACAAAAAGAAAATATTAGGCAATGCCTGGTGGATGATGCCCTTTTGGAACTCAAAGGGCTTGAGATCTCATCTCACTCTGTGCTTCCCCACCTCCACAAAGTTCCTTGTCCTCCCAAAAGAGCCACGCTCAAAACCAAATGTACAAATTTACCAACAGGTCCTTTCTGGTCGGCTCTCTGGGGCTTATCACGTGGGAGCTGGACTTCAGTGTGAAGCATGAAAGGGAAGATAAAGGGGAAGGAAAAACAAGAAAGAGGGTGGGAGAGTAAAAGAACATAACATGAGATCACTGAAAGGTTTTACCCAGGTCACATCTGTTCTGTTGTCATGAACAGGCCTAGAGCCACAAAACACCTGAAAAAGCATCTGAACACAGGCAAAACACATGTTCAGATAATAGCCCTCTACTTAACACCACTCCAGGGTTTGATTTTAACCTCCCATAACAGCGCTGGGTACCTAGAAACGGCATCTTTAGTCCAAATACTATTTCGCTTGTTAATTCCAGCACAACTGCATTAAAAATGTTTTTTTCTGTGGTATGCCACGAGGAACTTGTTAATTAGTGGTGTGCTGTGTCAATGGAGGAATTCACTGATCTTCAATGATTTTATTCACTGGGTTTCAGAGTTTTGAGGGTGTGGGAGAAATAAATAAAGTATGAATTTAAACTGCATCAAGGACAAGGCAGTTGATTGGCAATGATCATCTTTCAATCACTGAACTCCATCCAGTAGAGATGGCATTCACATGAAAACAGAAATCAGCCTCCAAAGCCATTTTTGTTATGGTTCTTCCAAGTTTCCTAACAGACCACATCCTAACAGGAGGTACTTCCTGCAGAAAGACAAGGCTGTACAAATGTGCCATGAGCAGCATGTCAAGATCAATGGAACAAGTCTGAAAAATAAAAGATGAATTTTTGAACCACCAAAACTGCAGTAATCCTCTGGGACAACAGCAACAGAGAAGGAAAAGCAGATTGGATGGCTGAGGAGCAAAATTTGTACCTAAGATCTCCCACCAAACTACCCCCGATCACAGTCACAATCGGTCACAAGTAATAGGACATCAAAAAGGATGGTTTGAAGCTCTGCAAATAAACAGTCAGCAAGTAATTTTTTCTGATGGAAAGGGAAGATGATATTACTAATTTTTTTCTGAAAGCAAAGTCTATTAACACAGGTGGAATGTATTCTAATTTTTGATACAAACACTGTTTATGCTAGACAATACTCAGGTTTTATTTTTACTTGGACTGCATGTGCGTTCCTTTTTGTGAAGGAAATAGCAACACATAAATACCAGAAGTGCTTCAGGGAGCAGATAAAATCACTCAGCTCTTCAAAACTTAATTGGAGCCTGTGTGTTGAACTTGTACAATATTTTTCTTTCAATGCTCTGTTTGAAACTAGACAGTATATTGTATTTTTAAACAAGGTAAGCTATGTTTTATCTACTGTTTTAACAGATGAAGAATTGCAAATGTAACAAAAATTATCCCTTGGAGAATATAATTAATTAAAATCCAGAGCATGGATTAGAGCAAAGATTCTGCAAAACAATAAAAAAAAAATCCCAATTACTATCTAACATTCTGCCCTACAGGAGTTCTAAAATTTTATAGCGAAAACTACATTAGATTGTCAAGCTCCATGATATTTGAACAATTAACCAAGGCAGCAAGTTATGACACCTGCACCCTTCCATCTATTTATGTTCAAAACCCATCAATTTTTCAATACAGCAAGCAATAGTGGGGTGGGCGGGGGGGGGGGGGGAATCCACAATACATGATTGATTCACCATGATGCTATTTATTTTCCTTAGATTTAATTTCTCAGTTTATTGTTTTTCTTAGCTTCTTCATAGAAAACTGCAGCCTGTGACTCAATTTCTACCAAAGTTTTCATGGTTAAATGTAGCACATGCCACAGCACAGGGAGGTGGGTTTCAGTTTCATAACAGGTCTCCAGTTTAGAAACAAAAACCCCAGACAAAAAACAGTCAAACAAAATTACACATGCTGTTATGTATAATTAAAATACAGGCAGCAGCTTTGTATCGATAATGTTTTTAACCCCTTTAGGGTTGGGAAAATTGTCAATGCTGAAACTTCTGATAATGCTTTGAATAAGTTTTAGATGCTACTATTAAAACACTCCATGAATTTGTAAGAACTAATGAGCACACCTGAATTAAATACACCCAGAAGACTCAGTAATCAGATCATTTATCAATTTACTCATCTAAGGTTTGCTGTTCCTAGCAACACAGTGTATCTTCACTAAACTGTACCTTTACAAACTGTTTTGCTATCAGGCTAAAGCAAATTGGTTTATACAATAGCACTATAGCAAAATGGTTCTGGTACCAAAATATCAAACAGATAAAATGTACTCTTTGATGCCCCAAAATAAACACAATAAGCAGAAAATGAAAGAATGAAGTGAGCACTTATTTTAATTAACTATGTCATTCAAGCACACACTAATAGGCAAACCCACTTCAACCACTCCAGCAGCACAAGTATTTTGCTTCACTGAATATTTTGATGAATTTCATGAACAACTTTTGAATAATCATCTAATAAGTCATTAGAGACCTACATCAGCTATACAAATCACACGAAGACTTGAGAACCTGTCATTCAGATTACTTTTTTGCAACCTCACAGCAAGGGCAGTGCTGAAGGTTTCATCAGATGAAGAGGTGGGAGAACCCTGGGTGTTTTTGGTTTTTTTTATGCGGAGGATGGCAAACTCACAGTTTCAACCTAAAGTGAGGACTTAGTGCAATACACTGGGGAGAGAGGCACATCTCAGAAGCACCTTTCATCACTTGGCAGCCTCTGTTAAAGCTCATTCCATCCGATCATGATCGCCAGGATTAGAATCATGGAATCACCAAGGTTGGAAAAGACCTCCAAGATCATCAAGTCCAACCTTCAACCAAACACCACCTTGTCAACTAAACCCTGGCACTGAGTGATTCCTTGAACCCCTCCAGGGACTGACACTGCACACCTCCCTGGGCAGTGTGTTTCAAAGCTTAACCGCTCTCTCAGGGAAACAATTCTTCCTGAACTAGAGAGAAGCCTATTAATTTCATGAGCCATTTTATACCTGATACAAGTCTTTCCCCACAAGTTAAAAGCAGATGAGGATGTAGAAGTAGCTTATGAAGTTATTCTGAAATTACTCTGCTTAAAAGCTAAGTTTAATGAAAGGCTTGGTCAAAAACACTGAACTGTGGTAACAAACACCACCATGAACAGTTCAGGTATGTTTGCATTGGGTGTTTGGTTCACTGCAATGACTAAAACCCACTAAGGTATCTGAGACTATAAAAATATAATCAGTTGCAGTAACAAGGCTTGGGCTGAATTCTTCTGCCAAAATGTTAAATTTTCCTGGTAGTATCAGGTGACGTTAACAGTTTGTTTCAGTAACAAGAACAAGGTTTGCCTCTATCACAAACCAATCCCATGATAAATTGAAAGTCCAAAGATGACAGGCTGGAGCCAATTTTCTCAAGTCTGTAACTATCACTGAACATACCATAGGTGCACATCTCAGGAAATTTTTAACAAATTATGCCAGGATCAACAAGTCTAGCCGGATCCAGTCACTGCTTTGATGTGAGATCCTTTTCCATTTTATTATTCTCTTTACGGATAGTTCCACATTCCATCACAGTAGTATTTCTGCTCATCCACTTATTATTTCACATGACTAATTTCCATACTACAACATTCATGAGGGCCTAGTGTGACAGATGTTTCTTTGCCAACGTGCAATTAGTTTCTTCAAAATACATCCCTTGTTGCGGGTGGAGGCACATGGCAATTTCTTCCTTCAAACAGCCAGGAAGGATCAGCTGCTTTGCCTTTTACAAGGGTAAGAATGGTAGCTTCCTCACGGTGCTTCTGGTGGTGGCCAAATCAAAACACACACCCTGGTGTGTGTTCTTCACCAGTGCCACTGCCAGCAATGCTGACTCTCTTATTTGCTCAGTTACACACCTGGCCACCGAAAATTATGTTCTAGTACAACTCCTCAGCTTAATTATTAATTCCATAAATGGCAGGCACAACTTCTTGCGGGAGAAAAACAATATAAGGCTCTCCAAATTCACAAAATGAAGTATGAATGCACTGCTTGCTGCCTCCTCCTTCCTTCAACAGCTATTTGTGTGCTTTATCTTTGCTGGAAAAGCAAACTTTGCAGAGGTGAAGCACTCAAGGTGCTAACACAAAAAATGCAGCTTTCCCACTGCTTCTGATGTAGCACTGTTGCTATTGCTGCCACAGCAAGGCAAACGAGTGACAAGTCCCCTTTCATGCATGAAGCAGACCACAAGCTTCTGCCCAGCCAGCTGGATTTTGGAAGCTGGGCACAAACAGGTACTTAGGAGTGCGTCAGTACACATAAACAAAACAGTACAGATAATAAAGATGGGTATATGTATGTTGCCAAAAGTCCTGCTCTTCAGTCAAGTAGAGATTTTGTGGTCTGGAATGTGGTCTCCGTTTGTATGACCTGTGCGCTTGAAACTGTAAATTATATATTTTTCTTTGTCAAGGAAGTACGCGTTTAATTCAAGGATAAAAGTGACTGTGAGATCACAAAAAAGGTTTGTCAGGTGCCCTCGGGAGCAAGTGCTGAGATTGAAATTCTCGGGAAGCACTGGTTGAAGTATTTATTTTGAGGTCAGCAGTTTACTCGCAGCCAAGAACAATACTTCAAGAACCTACAAACTTCTAGGAACTCTTTGCTAGCCTAAGCATAAAACCTGGCAATTTCAAGTTAGATCCTTGACGACCAGCTTTGTAAAGCCATATGCCCGTTCAGTCAGCGCGGTGCCCATAAAGCAGCTTTATCTTACACGTAGTGATTTAAGGCCAGGAAATTATCCCGTGGCTACTCTCCCTATGTAAACACACCAAATCCCAACAGCGAGCGAACTGTCTGCTTTGGTCAGCGCTCAGAGCCTCCGCAAGCCCATTCTGGAAACCAAACCCAGCTAACGGATCGTTCCGAGGGCCTTGCTACACAAGTAGCCAAAAAAGAGCTGCGGCAGAGCGGCGTTTCTAAAGGAGCCTAACCGAGACGAGTGGGCGAGCAGCCTCTCTGCGAGCGCCAGGGTCCGGCCGGAGGTCACCGCCAGGCCGGGGTGGCCACTGGCAAGCCCCGGGACCTGCAGCCAGCCCGGCGCTGCCGTCCCCGGCCGTGTCCCCCGCCCCGAGCGCTGCCTCCCGTGCCCATGTATGTCAAACCCAGCGCGCCCGGCCCCGCTCCAGCCGCGCCGCGCCGCGCACGGGCCCGTCTCCGCGGCCGCCGACAAGCACGCGCTTTTCCTTCCTAAAAACACCAAAAAAACCCCAAAACCACCCCGGTGCCACCGAGGCGCCGCGCACACGCTCCCGGCCCCGCACCTGGTTCCTGCGGTCCGAGCCGCCCGTCCGGCCCCGCGGGCGGGGAAGGGCTGTCCCGCCGGGCTCTGCGCCGCGTCCACGCGTTCTCCTTGGGCGCCGGGGCTTCCCTGCTCCGGCCGCCCTCCTCCGCCACCTCCTCCCCGCGGGGCGAGCCGGGCTCGGGCTGCCGGGGCTCCTGGGCCGCCCCCCAGCCCCGCCGCTCCGACACCTGCGCCGCGGACATGCCCGGCCGTGCGCCCGCCGGAGGGGCCGCAGCCGGGGCGGCCGAGGCGAGGAGCCCGCGGCGGGGGAAGGGGAACCCGCCTCCTCTCCTCGGCGCCCCGCCCCGGAGCCGCTGCCAGCGCCCCCCGGGCGGGCCGAGCGCCGCCGGTCCCTGCTGCCCTGCGGCCCTCGCTGCCGCGGGGAGCGACGCGCGGAGCGAGGGACAGCGACAGCGACCGCGACCCGCCGGGGCCGCCGCCGCCTGCGGAGGGACGGGCGGCGCTCCGGGCGCGCTGCCCCGGCCCCGCCCGCGCGGGGGAGGGACGCGGGGCTCTCCCGTGCGCCGTGACCTCACGCGGCCGGGAGGCTTTCCAGGCCCTTTCGGACGTTTCGGCTCCGGAGGCCTCGCCCGCACCTGCACGGCGCGAGGAGGGTCTGGATGTGGTGGGCAGGAGGATGAGCGCGTCTCTTTGGTGCGAAGGGCACAGCCCCCCCGAGGCACAGCCTCGAGAACGCGCTCAGCAGGGGCAGGAGAACGTGCTTGAGGTCCCAGCAGCGAGGGAATCCCGTATCATTTAAGCATTCCAACAAACGGGTACCTCTGCCACCACGCCATCTCTCCTCTGCGTTTCTACTTCCTCCCAAAAATCCCCCAGAAAACCATCTCGCAGTAGCACGTGCACTCATTCCAGGCTCACTGGTTTTACCCACACTCCTGCCACTACAGTCACAGGATGATGAGGAAAGCCACCACAGCTCGACTTTAATCACTCCTTTTCCCTCTTTGCCAGCTCCTAATGCTCCCACAATTCTCCTAGATTACACCTTAAGAAACCTGCTCCTCTCCCATTTCTTTCATTCATCTCTCAGCCGTGTTTTAATCCCTTTCTTACAAAACGTCTTCCAAAAAATAACACCAACACTTCTATAGTGAACTAAGCAAATTCCTAAACAGGCTTCTATAAAGCTAGTCAAATATTTTTGAGTTAGTGTCACAAATAAACAAATTTCCTGTGTTTTGCAGCACTAAAATGTGTTGTTTGGGGTAATTTTCCACTCTCATGAGATCATGCGGAGTTTTACCCCTTCATCAGGAAAAAAAAAAAAAATCCACCACAAATCAACCAAAATCTCAAACAATTCCCACCACAGCTGACCCTTCAGGCAATGAAACGTTTTTAGGATTATTCTGGAACCAGCAGTAGCAGATCAGTCCCAGGCCAGCTGGGACTTCAGGACTTCTACAGCTCAGGAACCTAAACAGAGCAGGAAAACACAGGAAACTAATTAAGGGCTAATTACGTGGGGGCAAAAAAGCACTAAAGTTGATCAGTTACGTGGTACTTGAGAAGTCTTTGACCATACTTGCTTTGCTAACTCTGTAGGATGGAGCTTCCTGCAGACTTTTTTGGAGGACTGGGACTGCAGAGGATATCAAAAACTGTTACAGTTGCTAGGACTCATCCTTCACATTTTGTCCACCTGTATCATCCTCTTTGTTACTTTCTAGTAGTGCAAGTCAGACTTCTCTGGCTAAACTCTATTTCCTTCAGAAACACGGTACTTCAAATGCTCCTGTTTGGAAAAGGGGCTGATTTACACCAAATGAAACCAGGAGAATAGCAATTCTTATTGATGTTTTAATGCTCATGCTGTATCTTGTGTGGAAGCATCCAAGCCTACCAAGGAACACTTCAAATTCCAGGATTGCATGGAACAGCAGCATTTTACTTGTATAGGGTAAAAATTCAGGAGGAATGACAGGGTTACAGACCACCCCAAAGCTCCTTTCCATGCCGTGTAACTTATCATTACTGCCAAGCTGGCAGAGAACCTGACAGTCTGAGATAAAGAAACTTCCCTGCCCAACCAACAGCAATTCAGATCAACATTTGAAAAAAAACCAACACAAGACAGAAACAATTAAGATAAATTAAAAAAAATACCTGCCTCAAAGTGTTAGCAGCTATCAAGCAGAAATAGTATTCTGAGGATCCAAGGATTTTCACTCTTCTACTGTTTAGAAAGCATCTCAATTACAGGCATTTGATATTCCAGTAGGAAGTATGAAAAAAGCAGCAAGACTCCATTCCTTCATATAGTGTTTCCTTTCAGCAGACTTTCTGGAGTAATAAAACTCAAGTGATCTAGCCTTGCTAAAAAAAGAAAAAAAAATCCTGAGTGGTTCCTTTTGAGTTTTGGAGGGGAGGGGGGGTTATTGGCCCTGGGGAAAAAAAAAAAAAAAAAAAGCTCCATCCTCCATCTGACAGTTATTAGATGTGTCCTGCACTGGCAAGTGTAAAACTGGAATCACAATGGTATCTTAATTAGCTGATAAAGCTTATTTTCTTTACTAGGTTTCTAGGCATGTAGAAAAACATCAAAGCAGCACCAGTGTTTGTTGTGAGAAGCTTTTATCTTGTCCTGTAGATTACCTGCTCTCCTCCCGCTACAGCTCTAGTAGGAAGAGAAAGGATGACAGTGGAAGGCATTTTGAACACCTGTTAACAAGAGAGAACAAAAACCCCCTCACACCTAAATGTTTTTAGGACTTTTATTGAAAAAATTTAAAACCAAAAAATTACCAAGGCCAGTTTTACAATAAATTTAAGACATACAGAATAGCTTACCTGCTATACAGAGGAAACCTTGTTACAATACTTCTTCATGCAACTCCTGGATTAAAAACACATTCTCATTTAACATCAAAATGGATTATTTATACTTTCTTAGGATTTAACCTTAAAATATGATTTAAAAAGTTGATTTTCCAAGGGTTAAAAACACATACACAGCAACATTCCCCCATTCCCAGACCATCTCCCTATGTCTGATAACTGACAGAAATAGACCACTGAGCTCATTTTTCCTTTTTTTTTGTTATGCTAACCTGAGAAATTTCTTAAATAATGCTTACTGGGCTTTCATATTTGGCAACACGACTTCAGTTACAGAGCAAAGTGCAGTTCCTTATTCTTGTCAGAAATTTGTCAGACTTGAAAGACAAATTTGTCAAATTTGAAAGACTTGCCAGTCTTTCACTGCTTGTCCCAAAAGACACTCTCAGAACCAGGAGTGGCATTTGTCCCAAAAGACACTCTCACAGCAGGAGTGGTATTAGCCTAAACCTCCTTCTGTGCCCTTTTGGTAAGTTAAACCTTGTTAGTAATACCATCAGGACACTAACCTCAGGATGCAGAGTTCCCATCAGTTGTGTAATTCCCAGTATTATGCGCTTTGAAAATATTTACTTTGGCATGTTATACTTTGTAGCAGAGTTGATTTTTTTTTGTGCTTACTCCTGGCCTTTACAAAATCTGTCTTTTCTCTCTTGCATGTATTCAAGCCCTTTCCCCTGCCACCAGTTATCTCCCTTTCTCATAGCTGCAACAGAAGCAGGACACAAAGCACACAATTACATTTAAAATGTGAGAGCTACAAAAGCTGCTGAACAGCAGACAGTGCTGTGGTAAAGCACTTTTAGTTGATGAAAATGCTTGTAAACCCTGTGAATCTTCAATTTAAAATTGAAGTCAAGACTTCAATTTTAAATTTGTAAGCTTGCTAATATTTAATTTCAAATCCTCCAAATGTTTGTTGTTTAAATGTGCTAGTCACTTCACAGTTGCTCCCCATATATAGAAGCAACATTCTCCAAAAAAATTATGAAAAACCACCTGAAGGAAGCAATTTAACTTCCAACAGACTAGAACCTCTTCTGCATTTTCAGTAAATTTGTATGTTACGTCATTTCAGTTATTTAAAATTGTTGCTCTTCAGTTTTATCTGAACACATTTGAAAACCTGATTTTCAAATGAACAATGATTTCTTCACTGTTACTAGTCCTGCCTACCTGACTAAAATCCAAGAGAATATATAAACTCATCTTTGTTTGCTCCATACTCTGCCCACTAAAAACCTTTACAGTAACCACGGAGATCAAAAGTGCTTGACTGGAAAGGTGCAGAAGTCACACATCCTGAGAAATGGCTGGATGTTTGTTTCAGAATAATCCTGGTCATGACTGTACCAAATACTGTACCAAATACTTTCAAAATTCTCTGCAGATCAATTTTGAAAGAATGTTACAGGAGATTACAACAAAAAAAAAAAAAAAAAGTGGAGAGATACCCACACAGTTGGTACATGACAACCTTTTATTCTGCTGTAATTTGTTGGCATTTTTGATCCCAAAAGAGGAAACAACAGACTTTGGATTTTCTAAAATGTGCTCAAAATCCAAGTTACTTTATTTTCCATCCAATTAAAAAAGACAAGTGTTGAAAAATAAGGAGCAAACTTAACTATTTCAATAACCTTTAGTCTCATGTATCTTTTAAATTATACAGTGCAAGTGTATTTTGCATATCAGCATTGAGTGCACTTTAGAAAGGACATCTGTTGAAGTATTTCCAACAGGTCTTTATAGCACCATATAATCTGCTGTCAATTTAACTGCTTAGAATCAGCCAGTGCTTAGAAAGTAAAATCATATTTCTATTTCATCTATCAATCCAAAAAAAGAAAATAAATCTGGAAACTTATGTTATCCAACTGAATTAATGTAAACAATTAATTACCAGACACTTGATTTTCACTTATTCCAGTTTTGTGAACCTGGTTGATGAATTGCTACATGATCCTTCTGTAATGGCATGGTTTAATTTAGTGGAAGGAAAACTTCACAGACATACTGAATGAAAACATCTCTCTCTCACTTTTCCTTACATTGTCAAAGTCTCTCTTTCCAAGATGTGGCGCTGAGCCCTCTGCTAAGGCTCATTTGCAATTCCTAATTGAAGACAAAAGCAGTGACAAACATAAGAGGCTGAGTGCTGGCAAAGCCACAGTACAACACAAAAGGAACAGCAAGGCCATGAGGAAGCAAGAGGTAACCGAGGTATCTGGAACAAACCAAAACTACACCAAACACAAGAGAGCAGCTTAGCTCCACAGTACATTTTACATTCTTCCAATACATGATTGATCTGTTTTCTACTGGCACACGATTCAGAATTTATTCAGAACTTAAGGAACACACCATCTGATTAGACATGAAGTACATGAACCACTCATGCACTGACAAAAGCTGTTGTTGTTTTTTCATAGGTAACGCCGAAGCAGCTGTGTCAGAATGGCACTGGGTTGAAATGAAAGCAATGCTGGTACTTTATCACTTCTGGTAATTGTTACCTACAACAGTCAGTGACCATCTGCTCAACACTACAAGAGGCTTGTTTTCCAAACATGAGTTCCAGTAAGCTGAATTACAAATGAGATCAGTTTGAATGCATTAGAAAGATCACATGGTGTATTTCTGGAGGAAGCGGTCAAATGCGTCATAAATCGCTTGTCTGAAAAAAGGAAAAGAGAAGAGAATTTGTATTATTTGGGAAAAGGCAGATATAAGTGGCATTTTTCCATATATTTACAAATATATCTACAAAGCTATCAATTTCAAAACCGTGT